AGAACTAAGTCCAAACTCATGGTATTACTATTTCGTTTAACTAAGGTAAACATTCTTTTATGGATTCCGGAGCAAATATTAAGATTACCTTTTCCTAAGTTTAAAACTTACGTTAAAAGTATTTTAATTGAAAAGTCACATTACAAAATTGTAAACTACGTGTTAGATAAAGATGTATGATGATAAGTGTAAAAATTAGTATAATAAAAAACATTGCTCTCGTGACAATTAATGAGCAAATAAGAAGGTGAAATGAGACAATCGCAAGTCACACCAAAGTTACGTAAAATGTAAACACGTGGGCATTGACCTAGGTGCTAAATGGTGTAAGTGCATTGCAAGGTGCAATGTGCTGTTATCAGCCCACACTTGACGCATCGTATGAAGAAGGAATACAGTTAATTATTTATATCACAACATAGAACATTTTACTAGCAGTAGAGCTCCTTGTGAAAGAGTTCGTCCAGGGAAATACTATCACCTTGCCTATTTCTGCCGTGAAGCAGTAATGTGAGGTGAGTAAGGGTGAAGATGCTGGTGAAATTTCAGGCACATAATGGGACTTGTCAACTTATGTCAGAAGGCGACGGGTGCACTGGCAGTACCCATCGGTTTAGAGATAGGCATGTTGCACACCACCAGGCGCATGATTTGTTTGTCCCGTCCATTGACTTATAAATAAATGGTATAATGGACGAAGGGTCTAATACAAAAACCACGAAAAAAATGTCCCAAGTCAACCTATTTAAACGTAGTGACATGTAAAGGAATATGAAAAAGCTAAAACGTTGAATTTAAATTGTAATGTCATCGCAGTACTGTCTAATTTTGCTTGCTTCGCTGTCATCGACTGACTAAAGAACTGACAAACGAAGACTAAAGCGTGAATGACGCTCTGTATACGATTTTAACGCCCTATAAGTTCGGACACTTTTTAGCGCGGACCCGACGTCCATATAATTGTAAGTCAATGGTCCCGTCGCTTGATATCATTAAAAAACATACTATCCGGAGTCGAAATATAAAAACAGATAACCTTTGCAAAATAGGAAGTCAAGTCCATTCAGAGTCAAAGCCAGAATAGGTTTGCTCAAATGTGGTCCCTTACATAAATATTATAACAAAACCAGAAAGAAAAGAGGATAGATTAACAAATATTTTGGAACTTATCTGCGAATATTTGTTTCTAAATACACATGAATTCTGGTGTATTGATATAAAATCAATACACTTACTACTTACTTACTACTGATACTTCGTTTCAAAAAATTTTTTGACTTTACAATTTACAAAGATAGTGAATTTTATAGAGTAACTATTACGCTAAGGCGTGCGTAGATACTTTGTTTTCCGAAAGCCAAATGTAATTTCTAATTATCGAAATAAATTGAGAACGCAGCTTCAATAAGATTCATAAGAAATGACGACTGTTCTTGGCATAAATGAGGTGAAAAAAGTCCGTCCTCCATCTTTTATAAATTATATACCCTACAAAAAAACCAATGGATGTCAGACTAAGTGAAATAGGGGTACCAATTGCAACTATGGTCTCACAAACTTCTTTAAATCTACGCCAAACGTATATAATTTATAATTTATAATTCTTAAATCTTTTGGACAGTTCCAGGATTCACAAATCTGTATACCGATACCTCAATAACCTACAAAAGTTTAGCGTTGTGGCGACAGACACTGGTGCGAATCCGGTTGGATCGCAGGAATTTATTTTTGTGTTTAGTAAATTTTTGTCAAAATGTTTACCCCCAAATAAATACCCAATAAAAGTACAAAGCGATGAATTTTTGTAAATACAAAAGAAGAATTATTCCTTTTTTTATGATAGACGAACAAGTGTAACGGTAGCAATTCCACTCAGAGTTTTAAATCACAAAGATCTGAGGGTGCACTGCCACTACGTCCGTAACCCTGAGACATAAGTAAACAAGTCATATGTGCCTGTTATTTCACCAGTACCCTTACCTACAAAACCGAAACGCTTCCCTGGACGAACTCTTCACAAGGACCTCTAATGCAACGCAATGCTATAAAAATTTATTTATAAGCTGTTAGTACACCAGAATTGTAGACTCACTACATTCTTTATTATTCAAAATACCGCACATAGGTATGTAATACAACAAGCAACATAAAAAGTCATATATCTCTATAGATTATTACGGGCATGGTACTCGTACATCCATCAATATAAATCGAATCAGCAACTTCAATACAATAAATAACATAAATAAAAGCTAACGGCTATGACCGATACTAATGTGTAATTAAGATACGCTGTGGAATAAGAACATCGCATTGCTAATATTAATTTAATATAATATTGATTTACGAGCACAATAACTTTATTTGTATTACAATTGTGAAACATTCTCGGTACCTTGCCTACATGATTCCGACGAAATAAAAACAAAATAGACTTATTTTAACTTGCTGGATTATTTTAACCCACTTAAAAATATGAGGAGGTTCTCAATTCGATTGTTTTTTTTGTATAATAATAATAATAATAACGCACACACTCAGCCGAGCCCCGCACTGGGGAAAACCCTGTGTCGCGAGTGCCATGGACACACACATAGACAACCACACATTACACGCAAACTCACGAGAGAAACAAATGTAAGACATACAAATATTTCTCCCGGCCCGGGAATCGAACCTGGGACCTCTGGGTGGCAGCCCGGCAAGGTAACCGTTCGGCCACGGAGGCAGTTCAATAATGTGAAACGATATTGATGATTCTTTTTTTATTGGAAACAGGGTACCTCAGTATTGGTCCCATTTTTTTATGCTATCAAGAGACGGGACGAACAAGTCGTGCGCGTGATGGTAAGCTCCACGCCTGTCCTTAACAGTTACAGTGTCACTTTAAATCGTAAAGATCTGAGGGGCACTACCACTGCGCACGTCATCCTGAGACGTAAGTTGACAAGTCCCATGTGCCTGTAATTTCAACCAACACCCTTCAAAACCGGAACACAGTAATGCTGACATTACTGCTTGGAGGCAGAAATAGGTAAGGTGGCAATACTACCCAGGACGAACTCTTTCACAAGGAGGTATACTGCTACTTTAAAATTTAAATTTGAAGAAAATATTCCGCCTACTAAGGGTGGCACACTAGGGGATGAATCCGGTTTCGCAAAACTAAAAAAAAAACTTGGCAATACATGTAGTTCCACGAACTTTTAAAGTCGGTTTTTTTTATAAATAACTTACAATTCCTTATGAAATATTTTAAAAATACTGAATAATTCTGTACTTAAAGTTAGAATGATTCTAACTACTACATTTCGCACCATTGGTGTAATAAGGCCTCATCTGTTCAGAGATTCTACGAACGAAATTTTTCGGTACCACCCTTTTTACACTTAAATATGAGAGTAATAAAATTTTACAAATACGTAATTTGTTTCATGAAGTTTTACTATATTATTTTAATGACTTGCTTGTGAAAAAGCACTTTTGGCATTTTTATTTTATTTTATTTATTCGGGTCAACAATAATTTACATTCACAAGAGTTATATTTCAGGAATTATGCTAATTTAGTAAAACCAATCAAAAGTAACTACATTTTACAATTTGAAAAATTTAAAAAGAAAGTCTTGCCCAAACAACTGAATAATTGTGTGCCTGAGCCTGTCTGTGTAGATAGTGTGAATGAGTCAATTATGTAGTAAATATGCAATGAATGTACAAAACGTAAAATATCCAAATAAATATATTACAAATTAAAATTATATTATAAAATAAAATATAAAAAATAATATGTTATATAATATATATGCCTTAACTCTAAACTCTGTCCGACCTAATACAATATATTACCTAAGTCGTAGAGTCTAAATAATAATAATATTAAAGAAAGAATTAATAGGTAAACCTAATTAGGGCGTAGCTTGCGTGTTTGCAACTTAAGGTTGGCTTTGGAAACAGAAAAAAATCAAGGTTACAAAATTTTTCGTTGAATATTCTAACCATCCACGTGAATACCGCGTTTTTACCATAGTTGGTTCAGTAGAAAGGAGTGGCTAAAAGTGGTGAATGCGGCACTATTACACCGAGACTACGATCTTTTTAATTTCTTCTTCATTTTATAGCATTCTCTACTTCCAGTGATAAAGATAGTGACAGATCGGTTTTTTTTTACTGATCACGGTGCGGTAGTATGCATAACAAAAGTTCCGAAAAAATATCACACGCACCTTTTCAACTAACGGCGGCCGTATTATAGTTTATGTGTAAACAAATTTGTAACAAATACTATTCACTATATCGGCACCCTATAAAAACTACTTTTAAATAAGGTACATTAATCGCCCACTAGATGACAGCACATGTCGTCTAAATCGCTCTATAGTTTTGATACACGTTTTCACAAATAGCTTTTATATTAAGTTCTAAATATACTATTAAATAGCGACATGCAATTACTGCGGTCACTTACAAAATTCTTGGCTTGATTTCAAATTTAAATTGGACTATAATACTGTTTTATAGTTATAACATAATTCTCCGTTACCCACGCGATGTTGTTTAGAAATACATATTTTTATTCATATTGCCTAATATTAATATTTTGAAAGTTCTTTATTAGATATACATCATTATTGTGGAATGTGTAGACCTACTTAAGTATAAATTGACTTACTGAAATGCTTGTCTGGTACTAACTGGTAAAAACTGGCATAACACTATAAAATATAGCTAAGTATAATATGGTGAAGAAAAACTTTCATAGATTTCTCACAGATGGCGCTACGGGAAAAAGTCGTTATAACTAAAAACATAGATCTTGAACATGCACAGAAAAATTTGAATCCAGCTGGATCGAATTAATTTTTGTTTTATGTTCGATCCTCATTAATAAAATAAGATACCAGTAGTGGAGTAATTAAAAAAAATAATAATTGAATATTATACTAGCAAAACTTAGTGATATTTAGTAAACTTACTTATAAATGTTAATGTTTGTTTCAGTTTCGGACTGTACCACGACACGGAGAAGATCGGGTGCCACCGGCGCGCCGGACCAACGCTGCACATCATGACGCCGATCTTCGAAGCTGATACGGTGCAGGTGGCCTGGTCGCGCTGCAGCAAACGTGACGTCACCAACTTCTTGGAGTTAGTGAGCTTCATTCTTAAGCCCAATTAACTTTGCCGCGCAACTTTGACATAGACATAGAATAGGAATTTTACATACATAGCATAATTAACTTTTTAGTAGCAGTAGAGCTCCTTATGAAAGAGTTCGTCCAGGGAAGTACTGCCACCTTAAATACTCCTACCCTACTTTAATACCCGAAAAGCAGTAATATGAGCATTACTGCGTTCCGGTTTGAAGTATAAGGGTGCTGGTGAAATTACAGTCTTATTTATGCTAGCAGTGTGATCTCTGATAATTAACTATACTAACGTTCACTTGCACTAAAAGTTATGTACACAGCGTTTTTCTACGCGCCGACGACGCGCACATGACGCGAGTTAACGCGATTCAAACGCGATGCAGTCGCAGCGAGTAAACAGTAAACCTTTGCACACGTTCACAAATTCAGTGGCGCCCTAAAGCCGCGTCATCTGCGCGTATACGCGCCGCAGACGTGCTGTCGTGTGGATGTATCGCTGTTTTAATTTTAATTTTGTTTGTTAGAAATTAATAAGTTTGTTTTTGAAATTAAGGCACTGAAAAAAACATAAAAGCACACACAGTGCGTCTTTTTAAACATAAAAATAACTGTACTACATTATGACTATTCGTATTTGGGTGTTTATTTTGCATGCCTTACGCTAGATACGAAATGTGAAAAGGATAAAAAATCACAGCAAAAGTTGTCTTGGACATGAAATTCTAAGTGTAAACTCCAATTGAGTTCATAAGCTTCTTGCTTGCAACGCTTGCTCGATACAAACGCAACACTCTACTTTTTGAGACTCTACGGCGCTGTAAACGTCGTGTGCGTAGGCTCTTCAAGCAATGCTTGCAATGTAAAAGACACTCATAATACATTGTGTTAAGAGAATCTTGTCAATTTAAGGATTGGTTTAAGATACACAGCAGACACAAAGACCGGCTAATATGTAAATGCTGGAGACAACATAGAACGTAACTCAAACACCCTTCCTGCAATAACTTTTACGTGTACCATAATATAACAAAGGCGATTTATCAGAAAAATAAATGGTTACAAATTTATTTTACCTGAGTATGTTGTGGCTCAAAAAGTTTCACTATTGTATAAAATCCTACTTCAAGAGCTCTAGGTCAGGTTTAGTAATGCAACAAAACAATCTTTATTGATATTTAATTATTGATACAGAGCCCGAACAAATATACAAAAATACCTTCGTTCAGGCTGGACTTGTCTCTATGCCTAACCGGGGCTACGTTCAAAAGTTCTCACTGGTCAGGAATGCCGTTTACATCACTGTCGAATTATTACTGGCTGTCTGAAACCAACCTCTGTCTGTATGCTGTACCCGTTGCTGGTGTTGCCCCTCCACCGTAGAGACGTGGCTAGCTCCCTGGAACGCTTAAAAATAGAGACTGTCCCGCGGCACCCATTACACCATTACGTGCCGGTAATCCAGAGGCTAGAGTTGCCATAGCTTCATTAAAGAAGTATACCCTCTGGACGGGACACTAAGCAGGCCCGAATAAGTCTCAGGAATGAGAGATACCCCACGGCATCACTCATCCCGCTGTCGGAACACCTCTCTCCTGGGCATGATCTACCTTGGCAAACTTGGAAGTCCCTAAATAGGCTGCGGACCCAAGCCAGCCAAGCAAGGAGTGCATGCACGAGTGGGGTTACAGCTCGGAGAGCGCATGTCCGTGTGGTATCTCTCCCCAGACAGTGGCTCATCTTTTGTGTTCCTACACCCTGCAAACACGAGAACCTGTACAACGCCATTGATATAACACCGAGGACCAGTACCTAGCTATCTCAGTCGCTAGGTACTGGTCCTCACAAATATAAACGTCATAGTTGCCAAGAAGAAAAAGAATGCCGTTTAAACCCAATACAAACATCCGCAACGGGCACAGAGAAATTCATCTTTTTCTTATCGTATCGATGGCATGCACTATGAAGCTTGCCATCGCATCGTGGTGAAAAGACTTGCTAATCGGCGTAAGGTACTCGCCCATTGTTGCCCAGAGTGGACCAGACGTATTGGAAAGAATGGCACTTTTAGTGCACTCCAGAAATTCATAAAATTTTCTGATTAGCTCTGTCTGTAGCTCTGTTGGACACCGGTTCGAGTGCAGTAACAACGAAGAAATTTTTCTTTGTGTTTGTTTGGTACTTGTATCAATAAAAGGAAACTAGTGGAATATTTTCACAAAAATATGTTATTACAATTTTTTTGACGACCACTGTGGTCAAGTGCCAAAAATATTTTTATTTTTAAAATAAAACTTTGCGAAAATTCCAGAACGATTAAGCTAGGCAGATTGATTGTTTTCTTGCAGATTGATTCTTTTGTCAATAAATTTTTGTAAATAATATTTTATTACAATACCAAAGAAATTATAGGTGAAATTACAAGCACCTGGGACTTGTCAACTTATGTCTCAAGGTGACGGGCGCAGTGGTAGTGCCCCTCATATTTAAAGCTCTGAGTGACACTGCAACTGTTATGGACAGACAATGTAGCTTGCCATCAGGCGCACGACTTGTTCGTCCAGTCACGTGACCTTATAAAAAAAAATAGAAAGTAATTAAATTATTATTGAATAGATATTCAATTCCTTTTTTATGAAATTACTCCACTAGTTTGTTATAATTATTAATACAAAGATCGAACACTTAGAAGAAATTCCTTCGATCCGGCCGGATTCGAACCGTGGTTCGTTCCGTGGCTTAGTTGGCATAGCGTCTGGCACGGTTTTCTAGAGCACGTCGGTTCGAATACGGCCGTATCAAAGTAATTTTTTTCTAAGTGTTCGATCTTTGTATTAATCATTATAGAAAATAGAAAGCTTTTTCATGTAGATACATAAAATCAGCACCTGGATCGGCATCCGCTAGTGTGTAAAAAACCTGCATTAACAACAACCCTTTCAAAGTGAAAATTGACTACACAACTGACATATATTTACATGTACCCACCAACCAATGTAACTAATACACACAAAATGTAACTAATACACAAAATGTAACTAATAGTCATACAACATAGCAAAGCAACAAGAGGCTTATTTTAAAATCCTTGATGCTATCGTAAAAAAGCTTTTAACTTTTTCTGCAACCGCCTAATGCGTTAAATATCAAAGTTATTATCGTAATACTTACGGTATTATCTGCTATCTGTATACCAGTAGTACCATTTACATATCAAAAAGCTAAGACAGGCCGTTGTTTTTAAAATTCTAAAAGCTACTTAATTGATAAGACGAAATGTTTGCCATTAAAAAACAAAGAATGAGGAAGACGTAATAGATACATAATTAGGGTATGTACATGATAAAGACACGTATAAAAATAATAATTGCTTATCCAAAAATTGTGTATAAATTAAACATTACGACCCATTTAAATGTCAATACAGATTATTTAGTTTGGAGAGTATTCAGTTTGGCAATTAAGTTTGGCGCCAGGAAGTAAAAAAACTGAAGGCACAAAAACGGTACTTGAATTACAAAATGAACAACTCGTTCTTCAAAGTAAAGCTAACAGTCAACTTAGAAAGTAGCCAAGTCGTTGAACATCAGAGATTGCCGTAACAAATACACATAAATTAAAAAAAGTTTTCACAGATATAACTCGAAAGAAGTTTCAATTATTTTTAACCGAATACAAAAAAAAAGGAGGAGGTTCTCAATCGGTCTGATTAAATTTTTTTTGTGTGTATATTACGCGACCACTCCGACATTTGAAGATCGATTTCGATGATTCTATTTTTGTCTGAAAGGCGCACCGCAATCGTGGTCCCATTCAAATTTGAAAACATGTTCCACTTCTAAGGGTAAAAAATTTATGTACAAACTAAAATGTACAATTTTACTTTTCTGTTATTAAAGTAAGAAATGCACGTATCTTTCAAATGATTTTCGCAGTGGGGTACTATTCTAATAAATACTTGAGTATGAAATTCCTCTCAGACTTTCGCATACACCATAAAATGCAATACCTTGGCCACTGTACGATGAACTATGAATTTATTAAACTAAAACATCGGCCGGAGACCATGATGAACTGGTAGCTGTATCGGTTTACATAGAAAGTGTGATTCAACTTTATACGTAAAACTTTCTAGCATTATAAGTATAATTGAAGTACAAGTACCTATTTTATGAAATATAATATAGAGATATGTGACATTAAATGCTTCGAAAAACTGTTTCTGTATAAATGATAAATAGGTGTTTATAATACTTATAACCTAACTGTTACTCATAGGAAATGAAACTATTTTTCCGGATTTAAATCGCGTATATTTGTTTTTTCAAACAAACCGACGTTTCGGGCCCTTTACAGGTCCCATGGTCACGGTTGACTGATGATGTTTTACAGATATATTTAAGGACCTATATCTGTAAAACAGTTTAACTGAACTCTTAGCTTTGATGTGTTGAAATTTGCATTTATGTGCATGTTGCAGGAAACTCGTAAAAGTCAACTTTGGTTTCTCCGTTGTCTGCAGAATGAATTACGATAAATATGTTCACCTTATGCCTCTTATCCTACAAGGCCGCTAAAAATAGTAGAACTCCATCAATATTTTAGGGGTCAAACGGCAATAGCTTATTTGTCATCAAACAATCACATAAAGTGTGGATTAAAAAAAAAATAATGATGTGGTCTAAATCATAGAATTCCATTTTTTAATTCGGGTATTACCTTTATAACTTTGACGTCTTAATTACGATCTAGTACTAATAAATTACACGCTTGTCCGTTTATGTTAGTATAGTCTTTTATTATTTTAATTAATACGCGTGGATTTATTTTTTAACATGATAGATTAACTATCATAATTATTGACTTCTGTAATAAAAGGAGCCAGTGAATGTTAGTGATGCAACGGAAGTGATATAACGGAAACAGAAATTAAAGCGGAAGTGAAAATACTGTAAGATCTCAACGAAATAATTACAAACAGGGCTTGTTTTTGGTTCCATAATTACGCTTAGCACAACACAAAAATGCTAAATAATTCGTTATAAAAGTTGTGGACGCAGAAACGGAAACGGATATGGAAATGCGTGCGGAACTTCCGCGGTTGCAGAAGCGTCTGTTGCATCACTAGTGGGTGTGGTGTTTAGATATTTATTAGCTTTCATATTGTTCACAGTGCCGGACTTGGCGAATGCCTCAGTGATAAACCGTCACAAGAAGAGTACGTGTATCCCGAGGTCCCAGCTGGTGAGTACTTTTATATCTTTACTAGGAAGAACGGGGTGGACCTTGAAGTGTAGCAGGTCAGGATCGCCGATCAGGTATATAATTCGCAGTGGGAGAGCTTTAAGCTACAAACTATTCTGCCTTTCTTGCTCTAGACTCTACACTAAAGTCAATGTGTGCTTTTTAAAATAAAGCAGAACGTTCAATTTGTTAACGGCATTTGATAGATAAAAACCTTTGATTCCTGTACATGTATTACTTATTCCATGTAATCGTTTTTGTTGCAGGAGTTACTTTCGATGCGGCTACGCAATGTCATCTGCAGTTCGGGTCGGAAGCCATTGTGTGTGCGAAGCCATCGGAACTATGCGAGCATCTGTGGTGCGTCGTTAACAACACTTGCAAAACCATGTTGCGGCCAGCAGCGCCTGGAACCACCTGCGGACCAGATATGGTAGGCATTTTCATACTCCTAGAGTTGCCATAGATCCATAAAATCTTAGATCTTGAAAGCAAATGTCTAGAACTGCGAAAATTCAAGGTAATCAATAATTTTACCAGTATATTTATACAATTGATATTCAATTATTTTTTGCGAAATTTCTCCACTAGTTTGTTATAATTATTAATACAAAAATCGAGCACTTAGAAAAAAGCTTCGAACTGTCGTCTTCTAGCAAACCGTGCAGATGCTATGCCAACTAAGCCACGAAACGAACCAGTGGACCACATGAACAACTCTATTTGCTTGTTGTTGGATCTTTGTATTTGGTTTTTCAACGACTTTTTAACCGTAGCGTCATCCATTATGAAGTGTAAGTACTTGTTAAAATCAGAGGTATGCCGTACTAATATCGATGCTACTAGGGGCATTAGACTTGTGTGTTCCTGATAGGTACGTGGGGCGACGTCGCCAGCCGCTGCTACAGACTGTGCAGCGTGTGTGGACCAATTTCTTAACGAAATATCCGGTGACGCGCCTATTGTGCACCCTGAATGAAAAATCGGATAGGATCGATGTGCTCCATTGTTCCAGAAAATTTACAAAGATAGCACTTTACATATTATGTTACTTGCAGTATTTTTGCCGGGTTTGTTGGTGGGTTTTGGAAATAAATAAATAAAATAAAATAAAAACATTTGCCAAGAGTCGTCGCTACATTGCATAAGCTAATGGCGTGGACGGGCAATGGTGGATTTCCAGATGACCAGGACACCTAAGGTCTATCAATTCTAAGGCTGTTTTAAATCAATAAATTCATTTTTATAAGAATCTGTGTCTATCAGCATTTAAAAAAATAGTCCATTTTATTTATTTTGTCTGAAAAATATTTCATTCAATTTGAGCAACTTCTGCTGTCCCTATATTTTTTGTCCCATACAATGAAATACTCCTTACATGAAACTGAGTCGATCAGCACAAAAAAAATTGATTAATTTTATTCATTTTTATGGACAACTCACACTTGACCAAAGAATTGACTATGCCAAAATTTATTTTAACAAAATTTACCTATCAATAGTCCGAAATGACATTTTCCAGAAATAAAGGAGCCGTAGTCGCTCACCGCCTATGTCATTAGCAAACAGGTTGAATGAAAATGAAAAAATATTTTCAAAGCTTAATAGTAAGAAACATTAATAAAATGGACAATTGAACATAGGAAATACAATAATTCTAGTGGTGCCAAAACCTGACGTGTGTGGCACGACGCCCGTCGCCGACGCCGGTGAACGGCGGCTGGGGCGACTGGTCGCCTTGGAGCGAGTGTTCGCGCTCCTGCGGCGCAGGAGTCTCCATGCAAACCAGAGAATGCAACAACCCCGCCCCAAAGTACAATGGCGATTATTGTACAGGGAATCGCAGCCGGTAAGCTCTCTCTCATTTCCTGTTTCTATGACAACTTGTGGTTGGACACAAGGATGTGATTGGTAGCATCTTGTATTTGGTCAATTATAAACTACTTACCTAACGGTCCTCCGATAATTAACTAACACACACTACATTCACCTAATAGACCATACTTAATTTCAGGTACGCAGTATGTAACACGGATCCGTGTCCACTCAACAAGCCGTCGTTCAGAGAAGTGCAGTGTACGAAGTTCAACAACATAACTTACAACAACGAAACGATTTCGGAGTGGATGCCTTACTTCGATCCAGGTTAACAGAATTGTGGTTCTCGTACAAGCCTCGTTACGTTATTTGTTAATGGTTACCTGTCAGAAGACTGAAATTACATTTTCCAGAAATAACGTCTACTCGAATTTTCATAACCTGTTTTCATGACATGACCATGACATGAAAGTAATTTTGAGAAGTAAATGTTTTTTCTTTTAAACCTAACTTAACCAAACCTAATCGAGTCTTTGCAATAAACATCCAACATATCCTGTAAGAACAACGGGTCGTTATAATTCGGTTTTCGGGGATAATGAAAATTCGAACAAACGCTATTTCGGAAAAAAGAAATTAGAGTTTGTGATAGGTTATCTTTGTTAATATTTGAATATACTCTCAAGGTAGGAAGGGACGAGATCAATTTTTGTGCAGAAGTCTTTATTAAGCAAGTAATGGTGGACATAAAAGAACGCGGACTCCACTGCTGGAACAAGCCAGTGTAATCAGCAGATTACACTGGCCTGTGCCAGTATAGTGCTGCAGCTTTCCCCTCCGGTCAGCAGATTGGAGAGGAAAGTCCCAAGACTGAACTGGAAAAATATTTAGACAAGTCACTGACACACTTACGGTGACACTTATCGCAACAGTTTTATTTATTAAACTTAAAAAGCACGATTCGCGTATTAAATAAGTATTACAATACAATACAATACAAATATTCTTTTTATCACACTTACACGTAAATAGTATGATTGCATACAGGCTAACTTGACTATAATGCCCCAAATAAAACCATCGGGCCTTTTTTCTTATCATTACACTGACCATGTGGGTAGGGTTTTAATTGAGGCATTAGTGTGAGGCCAGACGAGCGTGATTTTGTGAGTTGCGTTTTTTGAGTTGCGCACTTTGCGCTGCATTCGGTTTCATATAAAAGTACGGTTTCTTTCACACGGCGATGCAAAATGAGTTATCTGGCGACTCATGGGGGTGAGGGAAGGGGTCACTTTGGTATAGGATGCGCATGAGTATAGACGTTTCTTGCAAAAATGTTCGTTACGGAAATTAAAATATAAATAATTGAACAACTTACTTGATTGATATTATTAGTCTTTCCACTGGACTGGTGGCTTGTCTCATATTTGTATCTGACTTAGCAATAAAAGGTTTTACTAGGCTTAATAATTCTTGAAAAACATTTATTGGCATGAGGTAGTACTTAACAAATTGATCTGGATGTTCACATAAACTTGTATATAATATATGAAACTGCCCACACTTTAATCGTTTCATATTGAGTGGAAGCTTCTGTCTTTTTCAAACATCGTCTTCTAATGCTTATGAACCATTAGAAGATACTATTTTTAATGGATCCATTACACTCTTACGACACAAATACCCCGTATAAACGCTTAAAAGCGACTGAATAAAAAACGTTCGTCCGGCGCTCAAACCGAATTTCAGTCGAGCGCAAAAAAAACGCAACTCACAACTCACAAAATTACGCTCGTCTGGCCTCACACTTATAGTCAAGTTAGTCTGCATGCAATCGTACTATTTACATGCACGTGCAATGTAAAACATTGTATGTTTCACTGGGCGGTACGGGAATTACGAACTTCAACTCATTAGTCTCGTTCGTAATTCCTCATTTACCGCCCTTATTACACAATGTACTATAATTGCACACTGGAACAAATACATAATAATAAACAAAAAATATTATAGACAATAAAAAGTATTATTATGTTTTTCTGACAGACAAACCGTGCGATCTTCAGTGCGTGCCACGCAATGGAGACAATGAGGTGGAGATGATCGGAGGCTTCGTCGCCGACGGCACGCCCTGTAAGGAGAGCCTCGGTTCCAGGGACATGTGCATCGCCGGTAAGTGCCCCTTAACGTCTGTGTAAAACTTATAAACACCAGCCTTTATGCGATGGCAGCTTTAATGTAATTTTCCTTCCAAATGTTTCATGGTTTACGGTGCCCTGTTACCAGCCTACTTACACTAAGTGCTACTTTTGCTCAGGCGTGTGCTACAAAGTGGGCTGCGACTGGGTCGTGAACTCGGACATGGTGGAAGACGCGTGCGGCGTGTGCGGCGGCAACGGATCCGCCTGCAAAACTGTGCAGGGCATCTACAACAAAGGCACTACCAAGCAGTCCGGATACAGTGAGGTAGCATGCAATCGAAATATGGAATTACCTTTTCGAGTATTTTAACTTTGAGTTTTGAATTTACTTCACTGTTTTGTTCTACACAATTGACGCTATCAGCGCAAAAGTTTGTAACCCACATTTAATTTTTTGCTACAATATTATTTCAAATGATACTAAAGTACCTACTTACTTATTTTATATTTGGATGCAGTAAAGTGTGTCATCATTATAAAGTAATATTAAAGAAATGTGGGTTACACTACTTTTGCGCTGATAGCCTCAATTCACGTTCAACAGATGTCTATACATTTTAGCGAGATGGCAACATGTAACAAATGATCTTGTATAAAATAATTGTAATATGTAGAACCGTATTCTTGTAACTTTTCTGTCGCAATTCGCGCAGTCAATTTTGCATTTTAATCACCATAAAACTATATTGGGTACTTTACTTAGTAAGTACAGGTTTTTACATAAATTGCTATCAAAACGGGACACTTCACGACTTTGTCTGTTTTACTGCAGGTCGCAGTCATACCAGCCGGTTCAAAAAACGTTAAGATTCAAGAGAAAGTCAGTCCTGGAAATTATATCTCTATCGGTAGTGCCAAGTCAAAGAAGCTTTACCTTACGGGAGCCCGGTAAGTTGTTATGCATTGTTATTTGAGGCTATCAGCGCTAAGGTGATGTAATCCACATTTAATTTTCTTTCTACAGTATTACTTTGTAGAAACTCTCTCTCACTGGTTAGATGGAAGTCATATGCATACTTATTTTCTATAAAAAAAAAATTTAAATGTTACTATAGTACATAATTATTCCATATTTGGATGTTATTTGTATATATAAAAAAATATATAATGAAATATTTTTTATACATGAAAATAGCATCCAAATATAAAATAATTATGTACTTTAGTATTAAGTATTTAAAGTAACATTGTTGAAAAAAATAAATAAATATGAGCTACACCACTTTTGCACTGATAGCCTCATTTATAAATTGTGTAGGAATATATTCACCACTTACTTCCACGGTATCGTAGAAAACGAATAAAAGTAAAATTTTGGAAATTGTCAAAAGCGTCTACTTGTACATTACCTATAATTATGCACTTGGGAGTAACCAGCTTTTATACACTAAAAATCATTAGTTTATATTACCTAAAATCACCAGGGACTTGTTTTATATGGCCGCTAGTGTACTTGCCCTAGAACACATTTGCACCTGGCTGCCAAATGTAACAAAATGACAGATTCCTACTTTTTGGGCCACACTAGCTTTGGACTTAAGTAAATTTTTGTATTACAGAAACACAACGTTTACGGAATATTTTGTAGCGGGATCTCAAGCTGTATATGAAAGAAATCGGGACTGGGAAAAAGTTAGAATTGCCGGACCCATCGCTGAGGATATTAAAGTTTACGTAAGTTTTTATTATATTTACTTCAATTATATACCAGTATACATAATGCTATATAGGTGATACACTTAATTTAATTTTTGTTGCAGTCGCTATCAACTAGTGGACCTTTAGATGTGCTTTGTTCTTTAACCTCTTAAGACGCAAACTTCTGGGAAAAGCGTTAAACGCCCAATATACATTACAATGTACTAAATACTACCTCAGGCCCAAGTAGTAATCTCAGTTTTATATGAAAAACGCATTTTTCTGTATACCCTATAGTCATATAGAATATGCAGTGTTTTTTTAATGGGACACTTTGGGGAAATCCGAAATTATAGAAGATATACAAGGAAACTGTCTTAGGAACCATCAAGTTTTATTTTGCGAAAACAATTTTTTTGTCAAGCGTGAGTAGTCCATAAAACTTGAATAACATTGAGCAAATATTTTTTTAGTGCTAACAGATTCAGTTTCCTATACTATCTGCTAACACAGGTTAAATCCTTTTGTGGGGTCTGGACGTTGCCTGACTGGTCAGCAATCAATCAATAGCTAAATAATTGCTGTATTATTTCTGCAGTATTTGTAATGGCTATCAATAAAGTTATTATTATAAAAATGATTTTATGGTAGTGGAAGAAAAGAGTCGGGACAGTACAAAAAGGTCGAATTCATTAAAATGTTATTCGTTTTGTATGATTTTTTTAAATTAATATTGACCAACTTCTGCTGTTTTTTTTCTTCTGATGTATCATTTTTTCTTTTTTTTCATTATTTTCATATGAATATCCTTATAAGAAACTGATTTTAGTCGATCAGCCCAAAAAAAAAATTTGATAAATTTGATTCGTTATTGTGGACAACTCACACTGGACCAAAAAAATTGACTATGCCAAAATTGTTTTTACATAAATGACTTAATGGTTCCTAAAACAATTTCCTTGTACAATATGGTTTCGGATTTCTCCATGCTGTCCCATTTAAAAAAAAAACAGTATGGCGCTAAATTTGAATGCGATATTTTCATTATAATGACCACCGGTGTTTAAGTAATCATAGGAATAATTTTGTCTGGGTCTGAACCCTGAGCCATGTGAGGTTACGAGTTAACTTACTCTGTAAACGAAATATGACTTTTACGTGTGCCTGATATCAAACATTCTATTCTTTTCAGCAACTTATATTCAGCAAGCATCGTAACCCCGGAGTGACGTACCAATATACGGTAGACGCAAACAGAACGTCAGTGCAACATCGGCCGCGGCCGCTGTTCAGCTACCGCCTATCCGATTGGTCGCCGTGCTCCGGCAGCTGCGGCAAAGGACATATGAGACGGCACTTGCAATGCATTGACTCACATCACCGTATGTAGCTTTGGCCTTTCAAATAAAACAAAAGGCTAATACCATTGACTTACAATTATATGGACGTCGGGTCCGCGCTAAAAAGTGTCCGCACTTGTAAGGCGCTAAAATCGTATACAGAGCGCCAAACTCCGCTTTAGTCTTCATTTGTTCGACTGACAGCGCGATACTGCGATGACATTACAATTTAAATTTCGAATAGGTTGACGTGGAACATTTTTTTCGTGGTTTTTGTATTAGACCCGTCGTCCATTTATTTGTAAGTCAATGGCTAATACAGAATATTTCTGACGCTATATCATTCTCCCTTTAAACTGAAAATGCTATTCTGCCATCCACTATGTAAGCCGCGGCATATGTGACAAAATCATTTAATGAAATATCATAAAAAACCTTAACCCCATAATTTATTTTTTTTAAATCTGTAAGTCTGTGTAGGTTTTTTGTAGATTCTCCTCTCAGTGAATTCCCGAAATTCACCGGTCAATTTTTGAGTAAAAACGCGTGAATTCCTCAACTAGACTTTGAAACTAAATCATCGATTACTTGGGGCCATAAACATCGATGGGGCCATAATATTTAAAAGAAGAAGAACGCCGTTTTAGAATATTAAAATTGTAAAATAAAAAAAAATTGCTATGCATCATTAGGGGAAGTACCGATATGTCGGACACGTTAACTATTCTTAAATAGAGAAATTTGAGATCTATCTGATGCTATTTAAAACGGATATTTGACCACTTGTACTAAGCCGCATTTTAGTTAATGGACAGCAGCACAGTATTTTATTTTGTAATTTTTTTATATATCGTGTATCGTGCGCCTGGTGTTAAGGAACACACCTGTCTATAGCCGTTGCAGTGCCACTCAGACCTTTAAATCGCAAAGATCTGAGAGACACTACCACTGCGCCTGTCATCTTTAGACATAAGTTTACAAGTCCCATGTGCCTGTAATTTCACCAGCGCCCTTATACTCTTCTAAACCGAAACACAGTACTGCTCACATTATTAATCACAGAAATTGGTAAGTACTTCCATAGACGAACTCTTTCACAAGGAGCTCTACTCTACTAATATTTTTTTTATAATTATACATTTTATTATGCCTCTTGCAATATAAAACGTATAAGAAACACGCACGCCATCAACTCGCGACGGCCATTTCCATGTCGCCTTACTTTTTCACACTCGTATCTTAAAGCACAAAGTAACTGAAATGCAAACAATGGATTGTATGTTCGACTGTGAACTGGCAACCGGTACTGTCTCAATTTTGACAACTTGACAGAATAAAGAAAAAATCCTTTATATAGCATCTGGTTTATTAAATAAAAATACGTAATGTACATACATACATGTGTAATAAAAATATTTTAAAAACTACTTATTTTTATTTAATAAACCAGATGTTATATAAATGACGCAAACAATTTTCTTCTTCATGCTGTAAAGTTTGCCAAATAGCCAGTTCAGTCGAATTATACAAATTTTGCAGGCTGATTTCCTTCATATTCACACACTGGCTTTTACCTATTCTTAAAGTAATGCATCCAAACACACCCTTAACACCCTTGTTAAGAAATTTAACAGAAATGGAAAGTTTTGCCATCTGCTGAACAATCACTCTTTATAAGACCCGAGTTTGAGAAAGTAAGGCATCGAGTTGCACACTGCAGGAGTGGTGGACGAGGCGCAGTGCTACCACATCGAGCCGCCGCGACACGAGGCCATGATGCAGGAGTGCGAGCTGCCCGCCTGCCCGGCGACGCACTGGCGGGTGAGGTCGTGGCTGCCCTGCGAGAAGTCCTGTCACATGCCGGTAATACCTGCTCTTCCTACCCTTTACTGAAAGAAAATGGCGTGTTTACACAAAGTCGACTAGTTCGCCTTGTCGAAGGAATTGTCGGGCAAGCAAAAGCGACTTGTCGACCTAAACCCTAAACGGTTCATTCCCACTAGTTCTATTGCGTGTTCTACTGGGACAAAAAGTTCTAGTAGTTCTATTAAATTATATTTCAAGAATAGAACTAGTGGGAAAAAAATCATTCCAAGTAGTTACATTGGTTTAGTTCCATTTTTATACCGAAAATAATAAATAGTATCAGTTAACTCCTTTTCAAATGATTTTTAACTGACTTCAAGAAAAAGGAGGTTCCACTACTTCTATTATTCTTAAAATATAATTTAATAGAATTATTGGGTTTTTTCGTCTCAGTAGTTGTTTAATAGAACTATTCAATAGAACTAGTGGGAATGAACCGCGTAGTGTAAACGCGCTATAACTCGTAATGGTCGACGCAATACTGTCTACTTAGGTCGAAGGAACTGCAACGAGATTCCTTATTAGCTTGACAGTTTCGTCCCAACGCGACAAATGTAATGATATTTTATTCATTGCAGAACTTCCAATTTAATCTGTCCTCTGCCTTGTCATAACTAACGCATTTCCATTTCGGTACTTTCGAGATAATTGGCACCAAGTTTTATTGTCACTTAAAAAAATGTCAATTACGCTGATTAAGATGATTTAAGAATAAAACTGATTAAATTTATTGTATGTCACAAGATGTTTCACCACCATGATATATTATTTTATGTGAAATTACTCCTTATAATTATTCATACAAAGATCGACTACTACTACTATTATGACACCCCTAGAAATAGCACAAACGAGCAATTCGCAAAGTAAGCCCTTTTCGATCATATTTGTTTCCCACACACCTATCGGTGCGTAAACTATAGTCCTGTCGGTGCGTCAACTGTTTATATTTCTTACAATCATTAGGCAAAAATGTACTTCAGATGACAATGTTATTTATTAAATGAAATTCTTGTGTTCACGGAAGAGCTAATTGACAATTCATATTATGAATTTCTTACAATTCATATAACGCAATTCATCTATTTGACAGTGTTCTATGTGTGTGTGTGTGAATTGCGTTTTTTGTTTTGTTTGAAAATGCATAATATGAATTGTCAATTAATATATTATGATTCTGTCTATGCGGCCTTTTTAGCGCTGCATACGTCTGAAATACATATAATTAATTATCTATAGTTCAGACACAGATGTCTTACCCTAAATGCAGCATTGCAAGCTTAACACTGTCAATGTCAAATTTGTCTGTAAGTTTATGAAATAAATAAATTTATTATTAATAATAATAACTCAATTTCGCTAAAAATGTCGTTCCGTTAGCCATGATAAGGAGTAATCATCTCTATTACATTAATGCTACGGGATATCTTTTGAATAATTGTTTTCGTTCCCAGGGCGTAGAAGCAAAGAAAAGGCGAATCGTTTTCTGCGTGGATAGAATAAAAAACAGAGTGGTCCACGACCAAGAGTGTGATCCTGCGAGTAAACCTGCAAGCGTTATCAAATGCGCAGACATGCCCGCTTGTTAGTAATGAACATGACATCGTTGAAGTTTATTTTTTATTGAAAGGTTACTGCCGTTAACCAACATCGAAAATGGCCCAGAGTCAAAAGCATTTAATATTGCATCAAAAGAGATGTTGATCAAACATATTTTTAAGGAAATAATGTGTCTTATTGTCTGTCACTTCCATTTTGTAGTGAAGAAAAGAAGTGAGTATATAATACATTTTTATTATTACTTCACAATGGACTCCGGTCTTGCAAAAGTTAATAAATTCTGTTTTGATCGTGTGAATGTGAACTTTTTCTAGTGCTTGTTAATAAGTCAGTGACTTACACTCTTTAAAAAGTAACCCATCGATAGACTTAGCATATACCTAAGTCTTAACGTTAGTGCTAGATTAAGGTGACCGAGAGAGGAAGAAGAATCTCACGTAAAGCTCTCCAATTACCACTTAAGTTTGGGCCACACTTATTAGCACGCGTTCGCAGTTTTTGTATCAGGATACCACACACGGCAACCTATCACAAACACGAATTTCATTTTTCCGTATCTCGTTATTCCGAACACTTTTCTACTTTTTCATTTGTGCGTTAACTGTTTTGGTATTAATTTGTAACACAAAAATACCTTACAGCAGAATTATCGTTTGCCCGACTACTGAAAACTATTATTAGAATAATTATTACATATGTATGTATATGTATTCTTTTAGCACAAGTTTGTTTGGTCAATTCATGTTTATTAACAATATACTGAATTAGTCAAACGGAATGTTGGGGAAATGAGAATCGGGAAATGAATAACTTGTCATTGTGTCAAAATAGTGAAACATTAAATAGTGTAATGAAAAAAATCACAACGAGTTTTCGAACAAATGAAACAAAATCTGTTAAATAAAAGCCGAAAGGTTTTCGAAGAAACAAAATTCTGTAAATCATTCTTCTAATTTGTGACAGGTAACTCTCACTTTCCTGATTAGGAGACTACAGTACCTCAGATGGCATTGGTTGATTCCGCATAGCAGTTGAATCAATCACTGGGGGAAAAAATATATATAGTAAAATTGATTACTGTACGGTGTGAGAACACGATACCTAAAAACATTCATGATAAAAAAAACACAAATTTACCTGAAAATTTCACAAGAACACCACTGTATTCAATAGGTACAGGTCCTTTACATATACCAATTTTTTTATACCAATTTTTTTTTAATGTGAACTGAGCTAAATCGAACACGTATGCTATACGACATACATTTTCCTAATGGCTTTAATTTCGTAGATAGAAAAACAAATTCTGGAATAAAGCCAGTATCCCTTCCACTCGACCTAATTTTCCTTGATTTAGTTGATATTTAAAAAAAGAAATGCATCGTTCTTGTTAGCACCACTGCCATGCTATTGTACGCTGAAGCGTACGATATGCCACAGTGCTGGTCCTGTCAGTCAGTGTCAGTTTTTTTTTGTTCATCATAACCTCAGCAGGAGCCCCTCCAATTGCAGTGCTGTCATAGTAAATAAATAATCAGTATAGTTACTCCTAACCTACTTACTTTTTACTGCCCGTAAGCGAAATCAACCGATAAGCATTGTAAAAAAGGTTTAAACCTTTCAACCTAAACCTCGGCCCTGCCCGCTATTTTGATAAATGGGGGTTGATGTCGTTCGCGTCCGCGGGCTGTTTTTTACCCTAGTTTCCCCGCACGTGATCCCTGGGTGGTGCCAAACGAACGATATATTCCTGATGATAGTCAGTAACTGGTGACCAACCCCCAGGCAAAGTACTTGCGGGCCCGTTTCGGTGCTTTATGTTAAATGAACTGGGTACCTGGCGGAGGGAAGCAAGAGCGAATGGTGTTAATATAAATCATAAATACTGCCACAGAATTGCCTGAAGGACTAACTACATAGATTTTTTATACTGTTTTGAATCTAAAATTAAGGTTTTTATTTATTTATTACATCTGATAATTTATTACGTTTATTACATTTCTCCCTTTCTCTTTTGACCTTTGTTCTCATTGCCCTAGGTGGGCTGGAAGAGATCTATTTTAGAGACAAGTCCACCTTTGCTCACCTTCTCTAAAATTTATGTTGCTTTGCATATGGAAACTAGTAACTTCAGGCGATTTTGTCAAAAACATACATTAGGGAAATCAGAGTTTATTTCATTGTTTGTTTTACTGCCAGTTATCGATTTATAGAGGTCGCCACATTGAAAAAATCCTTACACTGAAAAATATATCTTAATGGCTGACACGAACTAGGCTATAATAAAAACATCAAAATTTTTTAAGTTTCATTTTTGCATTACTTTCTAAGGGCGATGTAACCAAAAAGAATAATGTTGAATGTCATTAATTTATTTTACTAAGTGTTTTACTGAAAACACTAGAAGAACAAAATAATTTGTTTCACTTACAAAAATATAAAAGTCGCGATAATGACGCGTGCTGAAAAGTGAGGGCGAACCCTTACTGCCATACTACGTAAGTAACTAGTATAATAGTTAGTATCAACTTAATTATTAACTATGTACTAATACATAATATTCTATATTTTATAACATCAGTATTAAAAAGTGGCGTATTTAAAAAAATCTGATTATAGTAATGTTGAAGTGTATAAGTATGTAGGTACCTACTATAAAAATTTGGACCAAAAATATTTTAAAAATAAATTCACGTTGCCATAATCACGGTTACTGAGAAAATTTCACACTGTATCATAAGTAAATTAAGTTAGTTTTAATTATTAAATAAATGCTAATTCATATTTTTATACAAATGAATATTTTATCGCAATTTTGTATAATGGAAACCGTAATTCTATCCGTCGTATTCTTTACTGTAGAAAAATTAAATAAATCAGCTAGTCAACCTTAGGGCCTTTTAGAACATTTCAAGTATAACAAATCACTATTACTTTATAAGGTATTTTAATTACATCATGCATTAGCATCATACACATCTCATGGCGTGTTTACACAGGATCGATTGACGCCTTCAGCAGACTACTTCGCCTTACCCACCTTACACTTACCTTATTTGGTAAGTGGCCTTCGCTGAAATCACTGAGTCATTATAAATACAAGCTTGCGCACAGAGACACAACACATTATTGACACAGACACTTTATCGTGCAGCAATATCGTACGCGATTAAACGCGCGTGTAAAGACGTTGGAAGAAAAAGAGAAAGACCGCGAGTCACTCCAAAACGCGCCAGTTGCACGCGGTCTATCCGGCTCTATTAGCCTTTACACGGACGCTCTTTCTGTAGTAACACGGCACGGCTTAAAAAATTTCAAACATGTAATCGCGTACGATTGCGCGTGCTGGTTTTCCCGCGCGCAATATCATTATCTAGGAGTAAAATTAATAGGATTCAAAAAATTAATTACTTATCAATAGGTACTTTGCAAACTTAATTGGTAATGTATCTATACAACCCAACCGCCTATTTTCCTATTTAAATTCTAATTACGCGAGCAGGCCATAGATATTTTCTTTTTTTTTTCTCTTATAGTTTGGCACTATGGCGTCCAGCCTTTGGCCATATGCAATTTCCACTGAGTTGCAAATTTTTGATAATTCTTCCAAATTGATATTTTCTTGCTTCTTGAGATTTCAGCGTGGCAGTCGTTGGAGCTAACCTATCCAATGAGCATTGACAAAAATCTTTTTTTCACCTGCCATCATTTGAAGCATAGCAAACATTTTGTTATTAAGAGTGGTTACATGCGGCGATGCAAACGCGCCTTCGTGAAACGCCCGATTGCATTGCTACGCTTGCGATTTAAAGGAGATTGCATCGATGCAAACGCGCGACTACATCTATACAAACGATTGGATCGATGCAATCGCGTCTAAATCCCGAGTGTAGCGATGCAGTCGCGCGCTTGCATCGCGTTTGCATCGATGCTCAAAATTACGCGCGTCTACGAGTATAAAGGTAGACGATTACCGACTATATCGCTATTGCATCGCGTTTCCATCGCGTTTGCATCGCTGCTAAAAGTCCCACTGTGTAACCACAAGTGTAACCACTCTAAACATTCTATATCGAATTTGGCTAGAGCATAGTCAGTTCCATGTCAGATTGTCGATCAAGTGTAAATACGCCATCACCGCGCAAACTGTTAACACAATTTGTATGTATAAAAATATTGGATTTTACCTGCCGATGCCGTTTACCTCTTATGGAACAAATGTAATATTATTTATTATTATATATATGTGAAGTTTGTGCGCCAAGTGACTATGCATAATTATAACATTAGATTTTATACTTTTATTTATCTCGTACCTACATAATCGTTATGTTATTTATATAAAATACATCGGGCGATGATCAATTAATTGGTATACAATTTTAATTTGGAATTATTGCATTAAACTAACTTTATGCGCACGTAACTTTTTATATTATGGATATAAACATGATTGTGAACTCGCCTTTACATTTTTAAGAAAACAAGTTGATGTACTTTGATTATAATTTATAATTTAAATATAATATAATATGGCAATAAATTGTGTATTGTTTTAAAAATAAAGTTATTTCTTTCACTTTCCCGTTTACCCGAAGATGATACATACTGCCGTCCGCTAACTAAAAAGCGGTTTTATTGACAAAATAATTTTATGAGATATCATAAAAAACCATAAACCAGTTTTAGAATATTGTTTAATGATATTTCAACTATGCATCGTTAGGGTAAGTTCCGATAAGTCGAACATGTTAACTAATTTCAAATATTTCTAAAGGAACATTTTGTGCTCTATCTCATGCTACTTATAACGGATATTTGACCATTTCTCATTTAGCCGCGTTTTAGTTAGTAGACGGAAGCATAGATACTCTGCTTCGGATTTTTTTAAATTAATTGAGGAACAAAACAGCATATTTCGAAAATTGGTTTGAACTGCCGTGGAATATGTCACCTGAACAGTAGCTTGTACGCCGCTGCAGGTGCGCGAACGAAGTGTCGCAAACAAGTGACGCACGCGCCTCTGCAGTACAGCAGCCGCGGCGCAAATATCGGTCCCGGACAAACAGATCGACTCATCCGTAAAAACAAAGATCTATGTGCAAGACTACTTGTTCTCAGGATATACTATATTTCGTTAGTTTTTCTTCGCTGTGGATGTTAGATCGACTGTTGTTTGATTTTAAATTTCCGAAAAGAAAAAAGGTACATAAATTCTCAAAACACCTTGACATGGGCCTTAGTTTGAATAACGAAATTATTCTCGTAATGTACCTATTCTCTTTTCGCTATATAATCACAAAGGACTCTGTTCTTCGGATGAGTCGAGATGCAGAATATCAAAAAATTAACCGTGTGAAGGATTGAAATTACAACCAAATATAATGTTTTAAACATTTATATGAAAAATTATAGCCTGGAATTGTTAAATAATCACAGTATGTATAGTGTTCATTTTGTACCAGTAAGAATGGTTACACACGGTGGTTTTTAGCACCGATGCAAACGCGCGTTCATGAATTGCGTGATTGTATCGCTACAATTGCGATTATAAGCGATTACATCGATGCAAACTCATGCAATCGCCTATAAATCCGAAGTGTAGCGATGCAATCGCGCGTTTGTATCGATGCAGTCGCGCGCTTGTATCGCGTTTGCATAGCTGCTTAAAATCAAATGTAGACGATTAGCGACAGCATCGCTGCTAAAGTCCCCGTTTGTAACCGCTCTTAAGTTTAAAATGTTCAAATTGTCACTACAAACACATAAACACATTTATTTTGAGACAAATAAATTTGTTATGTTACAAACTAAAAAATTTACTTTAAAAAAGAGATCTTCATTTCTTCATTGTAATAGGAAGTAAATCTCAAAAGACTTATCCATAGAAATAGTATACAATTTTCATACGGATTATGATTTCAAATGCTTAAAATTACATTCCACAAATTGACTCTCTTATAATTGAGAACATATAAAATGGGCTTATTTGTTTCACTCATATTTACACATTTTGAGGAATTTTATACTATGAAAAATCATTATCACTTGAGATATTTTCATCTTGACTATAATAATGGAAGTACCTTTCCCTAAATACTAGCTGCTATGCATTTCATGTATATTAATGGAACAATATCAGTGAAACTAAATAATTCCGTGCACACGCATATTTGCATTAGTTGGAGGCGATTGCCAAATCTGCTATTTCTCTTTGTCGCCTCCACTTTTTTTCTTCTGAAATAGAAAAACAAACCTTCAGACCTTACATATAAGAAGCAATAAAATTCTGATAGATTTTGATTGCATTTATTTCTATTTTTATTATTTGGTTAGTCGTATTGAGTAAAACGGTTTCAAGTTCTTCAAGTGGCTCCGGGTCCAGTAGAAGATTCTTTTGCAATTATGGCTTCAGAGGACACGTCAAAATGAATGTTATACTTTTTAGACTGATGTTTCTGAAAACATGTTGTGTAAATTTAGAATGTTTGCTGAGGGCACGTTCAAGTCTACAAGCTAAGGCTGCCGCAGACGTCGGCGTCTGCATCTGCAACCGCGGATCATCCGCATATTTTTTAATATCTGCTTCCGCGTCAAACATCGGAATGAATCGATGCAGTTTTTGCAGGTACGGATGTTTTGCAGGTCACGACAAGATCGTCGAGAGCAAGGCCTACTCAAACGCATGCCGAGATTGAGAAGTCGGCAACGTGTAGTATAGACAACGATCTGTTTGTTTTCAGAACAAAAATTATTGACTTACGAACTTTTTCATTCAAGATAGCCCAGCTCTATTAGCATAAAGACAGCCCGTGACATCTTTAAAACTTTAAAGTACTAAGTAAATGTCGTAAAAAATTCTGTGTTCTATCTTACATCTCTTTTGTAATAAAATTAAGTAAAATTACTATTTTTACTTAATGATCACCAAAATCCACAATGATCCACATTTATTATGAAAAAAAACATTTCTTTTTTCGCACATCCGCATCTGCAAATTCCAACGACAAAATCTTCGCATCCGTATGCGCATATGCTGTCGTCATAACCCACATCTGCGGCATCTCTGCTACAAGCGCATACAAGCGTTATGCAGCTTAAATGCACGTGATTCCATAACGTTTTCTTTAGCGAGCAATGGACAAGAGCTTTCACAGAACGAGAAACACAATAGGCATGTTAGATACACTTGCAATGATGGTCTTATTATGGCAGGAATTGCTTCAATGACACGCTGTAAAAAGTTATGGGCCGAAGAAACTAATTCTTAAAGAACATAATATGTACTACAATTAGCGACATTTGTTAAAAACACATAACTAATCAGGAAGATGGTTAAAAACAACAGGCATTTCCGGCACTAAAGCTGACAAATGATCTATCTGTTTAATGTTGTCTTATGGTTATTTTTACCAATAAAAAGATCGGTATCTTGATCACAATGAAATTTAGCACGTTCTGAGTACAGCTGTGTAATAAGGGAAAAAGTGAACTATTTTGCGGTTGAGCCACTCTCTTCTTGAAAAGCAACAACATATTGTCTCTACAGCAGGGCTAACACGTCTGAGCGCGACTTACGCGAGAGCGACAAATAGCGTGACATACTGTATTCTCGCATACATTTTTTTTTTTCATTTAGCGTTTGTTTTCTTTGACCCTCGCTGCACGTGAACTACATTTAAAGTGGTCCTTTATTCAATTAAAATAATGAAGTATTTCGAAGATTTTTTCACAACAAAAAACTTTTTGTAAACTTCGATCTGCATATACGTACAATACAGTGGAGCATCCCTTCAATTTTGTTTTTGTTAAAGGTACTCGTTATGCGGCACTCACAGCACCTTAACCACTAAATTTTAGCAAGAAACGATATCTTGCTGACAGAGAAAGCCTAGTTATTCATACAAGCGACCCGAGTTCAATTCCACATGACAGTGTGCGCAGTATTTATCGTTAATTACACTATGTAAAGAATTTTCAAAAAGGTTCTGTTTCTGGTTTGACAGTATTGGTTTCTGTTAAATTGAGCAGCTAGTATGTAGACATTAGTGGCGAGTTTATTTTATGTGTAGAATAAGTTAACCAGTGAAATGAAGTGAACTAGTATCTGGTGTGCTAATAAGTGTTGTGATTAAATATCGCCAAGGCGCCGTTTTAACGGGAAAAGAAATTTTTGTTCAAGTAAGTGTTTTTTTTAAAGAAGTTAAAGCTTCGGCTTTACCAAGGAAAACTTTCCCGCCTCGCCACTGGTAGCCATACGCTTGAAACTCTGCTATTATGGTCGGCGTCGCACAGTGGTATTTACGTATAGTCTGTCTTTTTTGAAGACGGAGTAAAATGACAGTTCATTGCGTAAAAGAGTTGCCCGCTTGCGAGCAGCTAGTGATTGCAGTCGATAAATATTCTATCGACTATCGACTGAATATTGCTCACGTTTATGACGATGTGACCTCCTTACATCGTCATCCCACCTTTTCTGTCGCCATTTCTCCGGTTCCTGACCACTCGTTACTAAATTTTGAATCGTTCTTTAATAATTCCTTTGCCTCGCCATTCTGATTCTGTTTTGTTCCACCGTCACTCCCTGCTCGAACCCGGCTGCGAACAGTGCTGTTTAAATTTCAATTGCTAGACGCAATTGAAATTTTGGTTCCTTTACCAGATTTGTAATAGCTACTACTAATCATGTGCCAATTTTAATACCAATCTGTAATTCTGTATAACTCGGCCTTTTTGGGGTAAGTGTCTACTTTATATTCATCCATAAGCATATCCGTATGTAATTAAGTCAGGGAGTGTATTGTAGTATTGTACCTGTTTTTATATACCTTTTTTGTTACAGCCTCTTTTTCTCTTACCAACAACTTGTAATAAATTTCCGTGGACCTGAAGTCTTCTTATTTTATTGCCGTGAACCTGGTCACGGCTCATTAGGGTTTACAACCTTTTCACGTTTATGGAATAAATAGCCGAACTTGTTTCATTTGAATTATCATCGATCAATTCATCCAATTACTGAGCACAAGTTCATTTGAATTGTCAACTGTATTTAGAACTATATTTATGAAAAGTACTAACAATAGACATATTTTAAAGTTTTTATTTTTATCCAATATAGATAATACATCCGGCTATTCTTGTCTAAATCAGAATACATATGAACAATAACGCAATTAGTAATCATTTTTTTAACATTCCCAATTCAGTCATTTTTGGCAAAATTTGATCTCCTTCACAATCTATCGATAAAACTATCGACAACAACTACATAACTATTTAAAATTTTATGAAAACTCAACAAGTATCATTTTACTCAGTCTTAAAAAAAGACAGACTTTAGGTGCCTATTTACATAGCTACATAGTGGTATTCACATAATCTACGCACTTCTAGATTCATAAATTTGTAGAATTTTATTTAAAATATACTTTCGATCTGAAATGTAATATTCCATTTTGGTCTTTAAATAAGAGAAATCCGAAAATTTTTATTTTATGATACGCAAATTTCAACTTTTCCTTTTCTTAAACACAAAAGCAGTTTTTGCAGGGAAATAAGTATTTTCACGTGTTTATCATAGAACCAGACACAAGGAGAAAACCTGCATGTTGGAGATGGGTAATTAATCTCTCTGACTGTATTTTCAAATGGAGAAAATGTTAGAAATTTTTTTTTTTTGTATAATTGTTAATACAAAGATCGAACACAAAGAAAAATTCCTTCGAGCTTACAGTTACAGAAATTGTTAATAAACGCACGTGAAACAAAAGGTTTTTGATCTACGAGATGTCACTTTGACAGTGACAGTAGTTCGTTTTTTTTAATTTTTCATCATTTTTGGATTTCGACTCCATCTCGGAGCTTACAGATCGAGTCAGCACAACTTATGAATTTCTCTATGTGTTCTTCTCGATGTTTTGTATTGGATTTAAGTAAGTTTTATTTTGTTAAATTTACATTGCCGCGGCACGGAACGAATGCGAAAGCGGCTACTATACTTCGTTACAATCCATTTTCAACTAAATGTAAACAAACAAGTCTCTGACCTGACCATAGACGGTTTAGTATTGGCCAATTGTAATGTCAACTACAAATCGATTAATTAATTGAATGAATCGATTTGTTCAATTGAGTCATACTAGCTGGTTTCCTACATAACCTATATTAGCATATTTAAAATTTCCGAAATCTTAATTTTAAGTCCTCCTTACAATGAGATACTCGTTTGATTGCGATTGAAATATTCGATTTGCTAATCGATTACAAAAACTTTAATTGAATGAACCGAATGTTTTCTTTTTCGTACAGCACTATGCAATCAGAGACAAGTTATAGATGTATACATGAAAAATAACCTCACTTTGGTACTACCATTTTCCAAATACAATTTTACGATGCTATTCAAATAAACATTGTTGCAAAAAGTGATGAGATATCAAGTCGAAATCTTCGAAATATACGTGAAAGTGTTAGTCGATTAATTGAGTGATTGCTTTAGAATTTTAACCGAACAGTTTTGTTTACTTTTTGTTGATAATGGATTAGAACAGACTTTAGATACGAGCGAAAAACAGTATGGTAGGTATCAGGAATTTGGTTGGTGCCGCGGCAATGCAAATGCAGCCAAAGCGCACCTTGTCCTTGGTGCGCGAGTCGGCGTGGCGCGAGCGCTCGCGCTGCAGCGCCGTGTGCAGCTGCGCCAGCTCCGTGTTGAGCTCGGCCTGCACGCCGCGCAGGCGCTCCACCTCCACCAGCACCTCGGCCTTGTCCTTCACTGTGGGACGTCACGTCTCGTTGCAGCGTTGTAGGACTTACGAGTTGTAGGTTATGATAAATGTAGAAGCTCAAATAGTCAACGACCCATTTAGTAGCAGTGGAGCTCCTCGTGAAGAAGCTCGTCCAGGGATGTACTGCACCTTACTTATTTATGACGCCAAGCAGTAACGTGCGCATTACTGCGTTCCGGTCTTGAAGGGTGCTGGTGAAATTACAGGCACATGGGACTTGTCAACTTATGTCTCAGGGTGGCAGGGGCAGTGGCAGTGCCCCTTTCTATCCCGTCTTTGCGATTTAATCATCTGAGCGGCACTGTAACGGCTACTGAATAAGTATCTAACTGAGACAGTAAGAGAAGAAGACAGAATACTTACTTTCGCCCTGCCCTAAAATGCTGCATAGTTTCCTATTCCTTAACTTGACTGTGAGGAGTTCCTGCTTAAGACCAGCTACTTCCAACTTCAATGCAGCTATTTCCTTGTCCTTCCTTTCAAGAGTGTCAGCGAACTGGACTCTCGTAATGACTTCATCAGGTATTGACTTCTGGTTTCTGACTCTCTCGTTGATTTTCTCTTTCAGCATTTCATTCTTAGCATCATCCCGGACCTTGGCAAAGAACTCCTCGCTTTTGTCAACAGACTTTGGAGAATTGTTTGGCTGCGACTCCTCATGATGGTTATCTGTATATAAGTAATAATAGAAGTGGCAGACAGGCTTAGCTACCTAGGTCATAAAAGAATCCAAAATAGCAGCCAAAGTCAGAAAGCAGCAAAACCACAGGCCCCATAAAGTGGGCATCGTTGCTTTATTAGTGCAATTAAGAGCGGTTATACACGGCGATATTCAGCAGTGATACAAAAAACGCGTTTGTGAAACGTGTGATTGCATTACGATGCGACACTAGCGAATTACATTGGCGATTGCATCGATACAGTCCCCGATGTCGGTCATTAAAAACATACAGGTATATCGATGCAAACGCGCTGTTTTTTTTTTTTTTGAATTGATGCTTTCGCACGTTTAAATCGATGGAGACGATAACATGGCGGAAGCGGTGAATATCAAATACCACAAAAAAAGTGTCGCGGCTGTATCGCATTTGCAGCGACATCGTATCACACTTGCATGAATACCGTATTACTTTGCTTAGATACAGTATCGCGTTTGTATCGATACTATATCGCATTTGCATCGACACGTTTCGCGTTTGCATTGATATTGTATCGCGTTTGCATCGATACTAAATCGCATTTGCATCGGTACCATATTGTGTTTGCATCAATACCGTATCACGTTTGCATCGTTACCGTATCGCGTTTATTTTTATTTTATAATATCAAGTGACGGGACGAACAAGTCGTGCTCCTGATGGTAAGCTACACGCATCTCCATAACGGTTGCAGTGCCACTTAGAGCTTTAAATCACAAAGATCTGAGGGGCACTGCCACTGCGCCAGTCATCCAAGGACATAAGTTGACAAGTCCCATGTGCCTGTAATTTCACCAGCACCCTTACCCTTCAAAACCGGAACACACCGAACCGTATCGCGTTTGCATCGACACCGTATCGCGTTTGCATCATTACTATGTCGCATTTGCATCGATACCGTATCATGCTGTATCGCGTTTGCGTTGATACTATATCGAGTTTGCGTCAATACCGTATCACGTTTGCATCGTTGCCATATCGCATTTGCATCGATACCGTGTCGCGTTTGCATCAATACTATATCGCATTTGCATCCATACCGTATCATATTTGAATCCATACTGTATCGCGTTTGCGTCGATACTATATCGAGATTGCATACCGTATCGCGTTGAAAGGTACACGATTAACGACTGTATAGCATCAATTTTGTGACTGAATCGCTGCAGACGCGCTGCTAAAAGTAGCTGTATGTAACCACCGCTCTAACTTTCAGATATTTAGGGAAAGAGACACTTTCTCACCATTGCTTGAGTAAACAATAAACCACTCAAATATACAATAAATTTCTTACGTCTTTGTTCTTCACCAGCATTGACCATATCATTGAACTGTTCAAGGCTCATCACATTTTTCTTTTTCTGTTTCTTGCTGGGTTTCTCTACTGTCTTCTTCTCCAATTCCGCTTCTTTCTTAAACTGCTTGTAGACATCCTTCTTTTGTTCGTAGTCCAGTTTGGATAGAAGAATTGCCTGAAAGGATGTTATCATTAAGATATTTAACATATTTAGATATCATTAGGCTATGTAACGGACAAAAAACAAATAAAACTTATATTTAGCACTATTTTAGCGTCGTCTTTAATTTCAAAGTCCTTGTTTTATTGGTCCATGATTTTATTGTATACAAAATACATCTATTAACAACTGCTAAATTGTTTCAATAACTAGAAATTTGTCCCATCATCGCACTGAGTCTTCCAACCCTGACGTTAGCGGAATTGTCATGCGAAACGACGGAGCCATATCCAACCAAAATGTGACTTTACTAAATCAATGTATGGACATAGTCCTTAATAATGGAACAAACTCACGGCCTATGTAAATCTAAAAGAACTTGCAATATAGTATCTATTTAAAATGTATAGTATAATAGTATCTAGGGCAACAAGAAGCCCGTTGCGTGTGCTACCCTGTCTCCCAACCTGTTGCAATTCAGATTCATAGTTGCCATCAACGAGCTCTTCATCTTTCTGTTTCCACTGCTCCCACTGCTCAGCTGTCTCCTGAGGAGCTTTGGACTTCTTCTTCTTGCCAGCACTCTGTAAGTAACAATTCACAATCAACATGAATAAAATGTTGACGTATTCTGAATGCTTTATTTTTTTTAAAGAACGCAACACACTCATAGCCCCGCACTAATGAAACCCTGTGTCGCGGGTGCCATGGACACACACATAGACAACCACAAATGACACCCAAACTCGCGAGAGAAAATTGCTGTACTTGCGACGTCTTTCTAGATAAAACTGTTTTTTTTTTTACCTAGTTTTTATATTTCACAAATGGACATAGTTATGCAAACAAGAACCAACCCACACCTCGAGTGAAATTGAGTTATGTATTTAGGTAGAACACCAGACGTGTCCTTTACCCAGTAATTGCTGTACATACACCTCGCAACGAGGACTGGAACAGAGCCGCCAACATTATAAGACCTCGAGAAGTGGCTTGGGCCATTAGCTCGTTTAAATCGTACAAATCCCCAGGTGAGGACAGTATTACTCCCATATTACTACAGCATATAAGTGTACTTTTGCCATACCTGGTCAAAATATATAGAGCCAGTCTTACTTGGGGACAGATACCGATACAATGGACAACGTGCAAAGTTGTATTTATACCAAGCAGAAAGGACTACTGTCTTGCAAAGTCCTTTAGACCCATCTGCCTGACTTCATTCTTGCATAAAGCAATGGAGAAGGTACTTGACAATCACATTAGGGCTTCGTCCTTAATATATACCTATCCATCACACTCAACACGCCTATCAAAGTGGAAAATTCACAGAGACAGCTCTGCTCCACCTTGTGGACACGGCTGAAAGAGCGTTTGAGGACAAACAACTAGCACTATGTGCCTTTCTAGACATAGAGGGTGCTTTTGACAATACACCCATTCGTACTCTGGTAAAGGGATTAACCTGCAAAGGTGTAGACACTTCTACTACGAGATGGGTGCAAAACATGCTTTTAAGCCGCAGAGCAAGTATCTCATTACACGGGGACCGGCTTGTGACCTCCACAGTAAGGGGTTGCCCGCAAGGTGGAGTAATTTCTCATCTCCTTTGGACTCTTGCCGTGGATCAGCTCCTATATAGGTTGGCCGAACTGAACATTGACGCCCAGGGATATGTGGATGACCTAGTGATCGCAGTTCGAGGGCACTGCCAAAGTACTATATCATCACTTATGCAAGGTGCTCTTGACACCATTTCCGCGTGGTGTTTAGATAATGAACTATCTATTAATGCGGAAAAGACAACTATTGTTCACTTCACTAGGAAGCGGAAACTGGACAAGCTAGTGGAACCGATCCTTGGTGGCAGGGCTGTGAGTTTTTCCGCAGAAGTTAAATACTTAGGAGTGTGAGATCTTTGTGCAAGGATGCTGATGTGGTGGCGTTACAGGAGCATTGGTTGCCGCCACAGGATCTACCATTTCTTGGTGAAATTGACAGAGATTTCAGCTATACTGGAAAGTCCGGGATGGACCCAGCAGCGGGCATAATACAAGGTCGTCTGTATGGTGACGTGGCTTTATTGTGGCGAAAATGTGCGTTTCAACATGTGTCAGTCGTTTCGCGTAATAGTGAACGTAATGTTGCTATTAAGGCAACTACAAGTGATCTTCGCGACATTGTGTTCGTGTGTGTTTATATGCCTGTTAATAAGGCCGTGAATTAGCTTAAGTTTACGGAATGTTTAGCAATTATAGTATATAACAGAGGTATGTAACACAGACTGTGTATATATATTAGGCGACTTTAATGCTCACACAGAGACACTATTTTATAGGGAACTTATGTGTTTTTGCTCTGAAAGACAATGGGTGTGTGCGGACAAGGAAAAGCTAAATAGTGTACTGAGCACCCACACATTTGTCTAACAAGCCACAGGTAGCAGGAGGTGGTTGGATCACTGTCTAACTAGTCAGGCAGCATGGCTTACAGTTATAAGTGTTAATACAGTACATGAAGTGTACTGGTCCGACCATTACCCTCTAATAATAGAATGTAATCTTGGTTTAATTAGATCTAGACCTTATGTAACCTATGAGAGTTCAAATAGTATTAGATAGGGGCTTTTAGGACCCCAGAATAAATTGCTAAAGAAATTTGTAATACTCAATTAAAGTGTGTAGACTTTCCCTGTGAATTTCAAAAATGTGCAGACAGAATGTGTAATGAAGTCAGTCACAGACATGTTATAGATATGTTCTATGAAAACATTATTTCTATTATAAGACAAGCATCCTTAACTAGTCGTAATCGAGAGGCAAAAATTGTTATAAATATAAATGTGTTTTGGGGTGGAACAAGCACGTTTCCGTAGTACATAAGCAAGCTTGATTGGATTTTCAAGTGTATATATATTCTATATATTCTAGGGAAGCCTGAGGGTGGACCCATATTTGAAAAAATTATTTGTAAAATATTTAAATCAAAGCTTAGGTACTGTCAGCAAAAACAAGATCAAATCAAAATGGACATACTTGCATCGCAGCACTTAGCTAAACAGTGACAAATTTTGGAAAAGTACAAAAAACCTTAATGGTAGGGTGGAATTACCGGTTAGTGTAGAAGGCTTAAGCGGTCCAAAGAGTGTTGCGAATATGTTTAAAGACCACTTTAAGATTGAACCGTCTTTGTCAAGCTCTGGGGTGTCTGATGCTGAGCCCTGTCATGTGGAGCAGCCTAAAAAAATCACTGCCAAAGATGTGAGATTGGCAATTAATAATATGGAAAGAGGCAAGTCTCCGGGGCATGATGGGCTCAGTATTGAACACCTGAAACATGCAGGGCCACACATTAACAGAGTTTTGCCTTTGTTATTTACTTTTTGTGTAAGACACTCATATTTACCACCGGATCTAATGAAGACTGTAGTTATCCCGCTTGTTAAGCACCGTACTGGTGACGCGGCTGATAAATGCAACTATAGACCAATCTCACTAGCGACAGTGACAGCTAAAGTTCTGGACAGGATATTAGATGTTCACCTAAGTGGCCAAATACTATTACACGACTCGCAATTCGGCTTTAAAGAAAGTTTATCAACCGAAACAGCCATTTTGTCACTAAAATATGCTGTTGATTACTATATCAAAAGAGAGACCCCGGTATATGCCTGTTTTTTAGACCTTTCAAAAGCTTTTGACCTAGTGTCATACGATATGCTCTGGACAAAATTGAAGAAAGAATATCACCTGAAGTAGTTGGTATTTTCTCACATTGGTATAGTAATCAAAAGAATGTAGTAAAATGGGCAAACGCTCAATCTGATGAGTATGTTTTGAGCTGTGGCGTTAGGCAAGGGGGATTAACCTCGCCTAGACTTTTTAATTTGTTTGTTAATAACCTGTTTGGGGAGCTGAGCAGCATGCATGTCGGATGCCGTATTGACAACACAAGCGTTAATAACATTACGGACTATACGGACGATATGGTGTTGCTCAGCCCTTCAATCAGTGGTATAAGACGAATTATATGTCATTGTGAGACCTATGCTGTGCAACACGGTTTAAAGTACAACGAGAAAAAGAGTGACTTCTTGCTGTTTAAGGGCAAAATTAAAGCACCAACCTATGTACCACCAATACTTTACAAATATTTTACATTCTTCCCCCGTTAACACCTGGAAATTTCTAAAATCTATTGGTGTAGGTAAACCGCAAAGTTCGTACAATATAACTTCTTCCTTCTCCTTAAATGAGCTGAATACTCACTTTGCCAAAACTGCAACTTTAGACACCAACACCAAACAGCAAAGTATTGCATTTATTAGAGCACTGCCCAAAATTTCAAATTCTGTTTTTATTTTCACCTCAGTAACTGAAGATGAGGTCAGGAAAGTGGTTTTGTCAATCAAATCTAATGCTGTTGGGCACGATGACGTAAGTAGAATTATGGTTATGTGTATTTTAGAATGTATACTCCCTATTATCACGCACGTAGTTAATTTCTCGATGATGACTGGGGCTTTTCCTTCTCTGTGGCGAAATGCTCATGTAATCCCTCTTCCAAAAGTTACTAACCCCAGCCTCCTCAAGCATTACCGTCCCATCTCAATTCTTCCTTTTCTTTCTAAAGTCTTAGAGGCTGTCGTTCACAAACAATTGTCTGCCTATGTTTACTCAAACAATATCCTTTCTCCATTTCAATCAGGTTTTCGACCAGGTCATAGTACTTCTACTGCATTGCTAAAGATTGTTGAGGATGTAAGGAGGGGCATGGACTGTACTCTACTTACTGTGCTGGTCCTAATTGACTTCTCCAATGCATTCAACGTCGTGGATCATGACCTTCTCCTTGCTACCTTAGACCACCTAAACATCTCTTCAATGGCAGCTCAATGGTTCTCTTCTTATCTCCGCGATCGCCAACAAGCGATTCGTATTGATCGCTCGTTCTCAGAATGGTGTAAACTCATTTCCGGGGTACCTCAGGGCGGAATTCTCTCTCCTCTCTTGTTTTCTATTTTCATAAATCTGATTACGTCCAGCATCAAATGTTCTTACCACCTGTATGCCGACGACTTGCAGCTTTATACCGAGGTTAATGTCGGTGGCATAAGTGATGCAATTGTATTAATTAATGATGACCTTCATCGCGTCTCGGTTTGGTCCCAAAGGTTTGGTATCAATGTCAACCCTTCCAAGTGTCAAGCCATCATCCTTGGAAGCTCACGCCTTTTTTCGTCTTGTGATCTGTCGTGCGTGCCACCAATAATGTATGAGAACGTAGTGATTCCTCTGTCAAATCAGGTAAAGAACCTGGGGCTTATTATTGACACAGGCCTTACGTGGGATTCCCAGGTATCTGACGTTTGTCGTAGGGTTACAGATACACTAAGAGCTCTATACAGGTTCAAGAACTTTCTTCCAATTAAAACCAAAACTCTCCTTGTTCAAGCTCTAGTGTTGCCTGTGATTGATTATGCTGACGTGTGTTACAGTAACATCTCTCAAGTCTTTTTGAATAGATTAGATCGTCTTCTTAACAACTGCATTAGGTTTATTTTTGGTCTGCGGAAGTATGACCATATATCTGCTTGTCGTCGTCAACTAAATTGGCTTCCCATCCGTGAACGCAGGTCCTTAAGAATTTTAACCACTCTTTTCTCCATCTTGTTCGACCCGGCTGCACCTGATTATCTTAAATGTTCATTTCAATTTCAAAACGCTCGGCCGGGTTGCGAATTTCGATCTTCCCGTAGCCTTAAGCTTTCCATTCCTTCTCATCGCACTGATTTTTTGTCTAATTCTTTTACCCTGCATGCAATTCGTCTTTGGAACGCGCTCCCGCTCCATATAAGACAAGCTCAGACCAAATTATCTTTCAAGCGCATGTTGCGCAAGCATCTGTTTGACAATAGTCAAAATTAAGACACTGTTTAATGTTGCTTTGGGTACATATATCATATTATTTATTATTATAATATATATATGTAAGTTTATTATGTATGTATAATAAGTATGTTTATTGTATGTTATTTATTTATACCATACAAATTATCGATTAGTTTTTCTTCTTTTTTTTATTCTAGTATTTCTATTTCTTCTTGTTTAAGTGTAGCACCAACCTATTGTGTTTTTTTTTTCTGTTTGGCCCAATGGTTGACTGGTAGAGAATGCCTTATGGCATTAAGTCCGCCATTTGTACTTCAGTGTATTGTACAATAAAGTTTAAATAAATAAATAAATAAATACTTTTAAATGGGGTACCTTTGAGGCGTGTTGCACAGTTTAGGTACTTGGGTCATATTGTGACAGGACCTAAAGGATGAGATGAGATGAGCGCAGGGCGTTGTAAGTTCGAGGCAATATATTGGCTCATAGATTCACCAGGTGTACGACTGGAGTGAAGCTCACACTCTTTAGAGCATACTGCCAAAGCTTCTATACATGTGCTCTATGGTCCAACTTTCCGCTGAGATCGTACGGCGCCTTGCGAGTCCAGTATAATAATACCCTCAGGACCTTGTTGAAAAAGCAATGGGAGCCATGTCCACTACACCTGGAGCAGCCCTAAATGCATTGCTGAATCTGACTCCCCTGCATGTATTTATAAAGAAAGAAGCCGGAAACAGCATGCATAGACTCTCCACCAGGTTAAAGTCTAAATGGCTCCCAGACATTGAAATCGGCCCAGGACTCAATTCTGGAACACCTGTTCTGGGAATGACTTCTAATGTCATGCTTCCCAAGCAAAACTTCAAGAAACTCTACCAGGCAGAATTTCCAACCAGGGAAGACTGGGAAACTAACAGTCTCACCTGGAAGGACGGTAGCCTTCTTCGGTATACCGATAGGTCCAAGATGGGACCGAACGTAGGCTGTGGTATACACAGCGTGAGACCCAGACTCAGCTACAAGCTGAACATGGGACGACACTCCTCTATCTTTCAGACCGAAATATATGCCATAATTGCTTGTGCGGGTCTGAACCTGGAGGGGCTACTCTCAATCTCCGTCCGACATCCGTCCGAAACAATTGCTGTCAAATAAGTAACATTCGACAAAATTAAAAGACAAGTATCCAGTATGAAGCTTCATTCGCATCACGCCTCTTTTCATTTGGTCAAGTATTGCTTAATTGGCAGTAATTGTTTCGGACGGATGTCGGACAGAGATCGAGAGTAGACCCCCTAAAGAGAGGCTACGGTAACAATTATATTTATATAGACTCAGATAGTCAAGCCGCTCTGCATGCACTACTCAGTCACCCAAACTTCGAGGATAAGGAATACTCTCGGGGAAAGGAATAATGTGATCCTGCGTTGGGTTCCTGGTCACTCTGACATCGAGTGTAATGAAGTAGCAGATGAACTAGCAAAGGCTGGTGATAGGGAGGCCTAGGCAAATATTGGATAGAGAGAAAACAGAGAATGTAGATTCTGCCACGAGGCGGATGAAACTCCTGTGCATCTCCTCACCCAGTGCTGCCCTCTAATGGGCGTAAGAAGTTCCATACTGAGTAGACACAGGCCACACACAGAGGACATAAAAACTGTCGGAGCCAGGAAAATCCTTCAGTTTCTTAATGCTGTTGGTCTTGGCTCTGAGCTGTAATTAGTGGCGATCACAATAGATCATTTAACGGTCGCAGTGATGAGGGCCTCATAGGCCCCAAATGAAGCCACCCTAATAATAATAATAATAATGTGTCCTTTACCCGCTCATAAAAGAACCTGGCAATATATCAAGCCAAAACAGAGAAAATAAAAGTCCTTCAAGATACCAAACCTAAATAAGTAACTTTTTAATAGCTAAAAAGAATCATGCTGCTTAACATCATATAATGTATTTTTCTAAATATGCTAAATGGATCCATGTCACATGTACTGAAGTATGTAGATCTTTAGCGATTTCATTACGAAAACTAGAACATGGTTCTCGTTAACTAAATAGAAAGATACATAATGTTTTCTATTTATTGCTATATAATATAATAGTTTCCCTATATCATTCTCAATGCTACACATAACTCACGTTGTTTGTCTCAAATAACTTACCTATTTATTTCTTCACACTGTTTTCACAAAAATCTAATTATCTCGAAAGTGACATTTTGTGGGTTGGTTCTAGTTTGCATAACTATGTCCAAATGTACAAAAATAGACACTCACTCACATAAGACCTTTTGGATTGCACTAACTGATAACTGATTAGCTAGCTCTGAGCTAAAGCCATTGTTAAATTGTTTTAAAATAAAGTTTTAAAGGGTTTTAGTGAGGGTCATCATCACCATCACGTAATCACAGTATGGGCACAGTTTTACAACCCATACAGTTGCGCAAAAAATGTACTTACGCAGAGCAAGTAATATGTACTCGATGGGGGTCAGGCGGCTCCGGCCGCTGTGAGCAAACGCGTTTAGTTTGCGTGCGGAGCGCTAACGGTTGACGTGATTTAAAATATTTTTGAATATCTTGAGTGAGTTCTACGAAAATCGTTGTATGCATAAATTAAAGTGTACAACTGTTTGTACGGTTGTAATTCGACAACAAAATACAACAGGGATTTACAAATTTATTGATTTTCCTGTGACGTGAGTTAAGATTTTCCTATTATATTGAAATACTTACCTACCCATATAATATCTATGCATGAAAGTAAATTCTAATTCCTATACCATAGAAATCAAAAGAAGCCAAAATTATTATTTCAATTTCCACATAGATAGTGAAAAATAAATACATTATGCATATATTAAGTATTTCTTTTTTAAAAGATAACAGGTGTTATAATTGGTTAGTTATTATTTATTAATTATGCTTTAAGAAATAGTAGTGCCCGCATGAACGCATGTGCATCTTCATGACATTCAAGAACCGATAAGTAATATGGCTCATATTTGCTATGCTACTAAGTTTCTTTGTGTGTGGAGTGTTTAAAAAATTACAGATGAAAAGGTACACCTCGCGCTTAACATGGGCCTTGTCGACTGTTGTCACATATTTGGTAATTTAGTAATTAAATAAGATAATTGCATACAATGTGTGTGTCTGAATGTTAATCTTGTTTTTTCGAGAATATCAGGTCATATTTTATACATTTATTTATTGGATATTTTTCATTCCAGGTGCCAGTTATGGATAGATGCTTGTCAAAGACCTGAGTTGAAAGATAAAAACATTAAACAACTAAATAATATGTATGCGACTTACACAAAGGATAGATGTATAAAAAAAATAAATAAAAAGCACCACTATTCCTGTTTTAAACTCATTGTCTGCTTCAACATATTATACACATTCAAAAAATTGTTCATCCAAATGTAAATACACTTTGTAGCTAAATGTAATAATAGAAAATTATCATAATCACAATTTTTTATCATTGTATGACAACCCTTGCACATCTCTGTACAGCAGCATAAGTACATAAACAAGTAAAGGCATCGCACAAACTTCAAACAAGGCATTGCATGAGGGACGATATTGTAATACTATGGTGTGGGTATTAGAAAAATGGTCATGAACTTGGAAAATTTATGAAATCAGTCCCAAACCTTTTGGATAATAACTATATGGAGTACGATGAATGTATCTGCAGTCTTCAACCTCTGTATGCAGACATGCAACCATGGTAAATTTGTTGTTTCTGGAATCCTTTCAATTCCTGATTCTATTGTTACACAGCTCATCACTATTTACCACTTACTACAGAAACAGATAAGCGAAAATTCGCAAAAACGCAAAACACATAGGTACCTATAATCTTCAGTATACTTAAGTACCTGAGACTTGGTGTTATTGTTCTTAGTTTTCTTTGGTGGCTCAGGTTTCTTAACAGTGCTAGGCTTAGTCTTCTTGACCTTTTGAGTCTCGCTGGAAGGATAGTCGTCATCGATCTTTAAACCGGCGAAGCGGGATTGAACCACCAGAGCAGCCATTTTTCTATCCAACACAAGAAAAAAAAATCTCACACAAAACAAGTTCTCACAAGTTCCTTGTCTCTTCCACTTAAGATCGGACGATGTTATAAATTTTTTTCATGTTTATTTCGATTGTAAATAAAAAACAACAATTCTCAAGACGAGACCATTACAAATTACTTTTTTTTACCTATAGACGCTATACTGCAACAGAAATGTAACTATTAAAATGAATAGATAGCAAAAATCAATAGTAAGAGTACTTACCTATTATTGCAATTAACTATTTTTTTGAAAAATAAATAGAAAATAAACTGCAACCTGCAACTACGGCAATGGGCGACTTGACAGTTGTCAGTTTTTTCTTAGGTTTTTTTTACTTATTTCATGACCTTGGATTCAAGTAAATTTACCCAAAAAATATTGTCATGAGAATAATTCCGTAATAATCTGTAATTTCTGCTTACCCAATCCTTTCACTGGATAAGTTATTTTCAACTATTAAATATAAAAAAAATGTAGATGCTATTTAATATTATTATCTACATAATGAGCATTGGTTATAGTAACATCAACCTAAAAAAGTAACGGTTAGTTAAGAAACTAAAAACGTATTATTAAACTACGAATTGAATCGTATAAAAATGAAAATGTATAATCTTTTTATGTGTCCACGAAATATGTCTACGAGGCCTATGTGCAGCTGTTGACATCATTCGGTTCAAATATTGACGATGATAGATCATTATTACACGCAATATGACTGTATTTTCATACATCATTTTACAAAAAAATACTTTTGTGATTTGCTTAAGTCAGGACATGAATATGACTTAAGGCACTAGAAATCATACTCAAGACCTTGCCAGGTCGTATTACCAGTGCTTGAAATCATACTCAAGTCCTGACTTGAGAATTAAGTAGAGTTCTGGAATACAACCCTAAGGGTCATATTCCATAGTCCTTGAGTATGATTTATTCTGCAATGCGTCCTGAGAGGCTTCATATGTGGGTCATATGGAGGACAGTGTGTGAGTAGTTTCCTGCCTGCGCAGCACACCGTTAACAAAAGAATCAGAGAAAACGTTTCATTCCGAATGCATGAGTAAAACTACCATGAGTCTCACTACTATAGTTTTGGAGAAAACTTGGACCAAAGTTTATGTCCCGTATTAGGTTTTTTTTTTAACTAACATTTTAGTGATCAAATCGTTGCAGATAAGTAATTCGTGATATTGTTTTTGGAAAGTTTTTTTTACTTTACTTGTAGGCATATTACAAACGTTTTTTGGCCGCGCTGACACATATAGGCTGCGAGTAAACCGCGATTTAGTAATTATTACTTTATTTTTTTCTGGCTTTAGTATATCTAGTTGGATTTGTAACTTACTCTTAAACCTAGCTGCACATAAAGACTAATTCCATAAAAAAATCAAGTACCAACTCCACGTATTATCCGAAATAATAATTTTATAAGTTTTCGGGACATTGAAGTTTTCGAGACATCACTAGGATTTTGAAGCTATGATTCTTATTGAATGATAGGCAAGCTTACCTAACTATTTACTCTATTTTAAATATGTAAATGTTACCCCATTTCTTTGCTAAAACTTTGCAAGTATATATTGAGCCAATAATCAAAGTAATGTGCAAGTAAAAAAAGCCACAGTACAATTGTATCGTTAGACAGAAAGATATAGCAGCAAAACAATCCGAATGTGCAAGCGAGACAGTTGTAGCTAATAAATAAATAATAATAATAACGCACACACTCAACATAGCCCCGCACTTGGGAAACCCTGTGACATGGGTGCCATAGACATATAGACAACTACAAATTACACCTAAACTCACGAGAGAAATAAATGTAGGTCATACTAATATTTCTCCCGGCCCGGGAATCGAACCTGAGACTTCTACGTGGCAGTTCGGCATGGTAACCGTTCAGCTCGGCACTTGCATAGCTGCAGGTCACCATGCCTACAACCCAATAACGTGTGATTTTTGGAATTGTTCTTATTCGCGTTGTGTTTGTCATGCACTTGGGTGTTATTTTGTGGTTTTCTCTATTTTCTGAATGACATATTGAAACTCTTCGAAGAACTGGCGCTTAGCCTTTTCCATACTACATTATTCGAACTGAAACGTGAAACTTTTGCCTACCTAAATAAATGGGTGAAAAATTCAAGAATGTTATCCAATTTTATATCATTTCGTAAGAAGCACTATCGAAGGCATTTTTGGAATCCAAGAAAGAAATTACTCGCAGTCTTGGCTGTATGGCGTATTAGTGCCTTTGCCTTTTCCAATGGAAAAAACAGTGCCAAAAAACAAAAAATATTTGGCGGCGCGGCGGAACGGACTAGTTAATTGTGCGGTGTGGAGTTTTTGGCAAACACGAAAATTCAGTTCTCATTTACTTTTAGGAGCAAACTATGAAACTACAATGTCGAATAGAGGTAGTAAACCGAACACACATGAGTTTAAATATTCGATCTAACGGAAAATACTTAAATTCAACTTTGGCTCTGGGAAAAGAAACAAAGTCTGAAAATGAATATTTTATTTTACATTTTTCCAATGCCAACAAATTGGGCACCAAGTATAGGTTAAACTTTATGAAACAAGTGTTTTCCAAGTATTTAAATGAAGGTAAAGTCACAATTAGATTTGAAGAACCTCCCCATGACTTGTGTATAAAATGTGAGGCTATACAGTTGAAATGTTTCATGAAATTGTTAAAGCAATGTGTCACTGGAGAAGCTAAAAACCTCCGCATATCGACGCTAGCTAATATAAGTGTTACCTCAAAAGATAATGCGCCTTCAAAGCTTGTTATTAGGGATCGAAGTGAATTCCCATCAAAAGGCTTACCTAGAACTTTGGAAACGCTTACTTTGGCTGGTTTGAAGCTGTGTAATTTCAGAAGAGACATATTATTGCTTAGCCAACTTTCTGTATTAGATCTCAGTAGTAATGAGATTGAAAAGATGCCTCCTGAATTTGGTAAGTTGTAAAGTACAAATCATTTAAAATCCTCTTGTCAAGTACTATACATATATAAATACAGGGTATTTGTAAAATGCTACCTTTTGGTAAATTTATAGTTTTGTAAAAAGTCATGAAACAAAAGTTGTTGTGATGATGATGTTCGTAAAATAACCTGCGAGGTTGTTAGTATTTAAATTTGAATTGAATGGATATTCAATTATTTTTTGTGAAATTACTTCACTAGTTTGTTATAATTATTAATACAAAGATCGAACACTTAGAAGAAATCCTTCTATCCGTCCGGATTCGAACCAACGTCTTCTAGCAAACTGTGCCAGTCATTATACCAACTAAGCCAAGGAAATTTGATATGTTACTATTTTACACCCTGCATACATATACTATAGATCCCAGTGATGCCCCATTGGCCTTGTATTTTGTGTTGTATACTATTTACAAATGTTTTACTTGATACATTTTAATAAAAAACATTAAACCAAATACCCACACTCAAGTTATGGCATTGTAACTTTGAGAATACATCAATACCTCCCAAATAAATTGTTGAAAGCCACAAAATAGAATTTTTTATTTGTAAGTGAATATATATTTCACTTAATTATTTTTCACTTAAACTTTTTTATGCATATAAATAGGTTCCATATTTAAAAGGAAAGAAAACATGGAACCTATACATAACAAAGAAATATAATTAAATTAAAGAGCAAAAATAGTATTTTGTGACTTTCAACAACTTACGTGAGTGGTATCAATATTAGCCTCATTACCCTACTGAGTGTAAAAAATGCGTATAAATTGAAACACAAAATTATATTTACCCAAACTTCAATACACAGTGGATACCTCCTTTTGAAATTCTGTAGTAATCTAAAATAAATGGTGCAAAATCAAAACAAACTAGTTGTATTATTACTTACAAATTATGAGAGTTTTCTTTGAAATATATTTCTGTGGTAATGTAATTATAAAATTATAAGGATGAGCGGGCAAAGGCTGGCTTTATTGGTCCGAACCCTTTGTAGGAATAGCATACAAGTTGATAAAGGTCACTCCTATGGACCAGAAAATACATGTCTGATTTGCATCTTCTTACCCTGCGCTGCCCTTTGATGGCCGTACAATGAATGAAGCCACTCTAATAACAATCATACACATAAAAATTATAGGACAAAATACTATAAATAATTCCACGTGCAAAATGAGCGCCTGTACATTTGAGTTGCGAATGCCAGCCTGTTACACCAAGTACTATAAATAATTCCTTGAAGATTAACTTTGCCTATTTTTATATTAAGCTATCTTTATTAATAAGTGATTATTATTGTTAAACAAATTATTTTACAGGAAGAATGCCGAATTTGTCAGAACTTTACTTGGCCAATAATCAGCTGGGATTGAAAGGCGAAGTCGATTGGAGATGGTTGTTGGGACCTCAGGTAATTTATTTCTTTATAGATTTCAATATTTAAAAATTAACTACTCTTCCACAGAATTTTCCGTACTTTTTAAATGACTTCCAAGAAAGGAGGAGGTTCTCAATTTGACTGTATTTTTTTCTTTTTTGTATGTAGGTATGTTACGCCATAACTCTTTGTGAACCGATTATGATGATTCCTTTTTTTTGCTGGAAAGAGGGTACATCAGTATTGGTCCCATCTAAGTTTGAAGAAAATATTCCACCTCTAAGAGTGGCAAACTCGGGAATGAATCCGGTTTCGCGATCTTTCCAGTAACCGATTTCAATAAAACTTGGCAAATAATTGTAATTCCACAAACTTTTGAGGTTGGTTATTTTTTATTAAAAAAAGTTATATAATACTTTTGTCAGGTTGCCAATGCCATGCCAGACATCTAAAATCCATCCATCTCTTGGTGTCAGCTTAAATATAGATAAATATTGAACTTATTTCCTGTGATAGTTATTTATTTACAAAAAGTGTTCTATACAGTACATTCCTTAATGGTTAGGGAATAATTAATAATGGTAAGAGTGCTTTAACAATGAATGTACATATTATTATAATCCACATGCAACGCAAGGCCAGTTGTGGCGATCTTTTGGGAGAGGCCTATATACCTAGCTGTGACAGCAGCTTTCGACCGAAATAATGTTGATGACGATGTGATATCTATTGTGGTTTATTTTCTTATCATCAACAGTGATTAATTTGCATTACTAAAAAAGTATGCACAATTTCATTTTAATTTACACAAAAACAAAATATAATACTAACAAAAGATGTCAAGTGTGAAAGACAAAACTCATCTAGCAAAATTCAAGCCGTATGTTGTGTTTAATGATATTTCAGCTTCCAAACACTCTAAAACTACTAGATCTGAGTTGTAATGAGCTGAAGTACCTCCCTAAATCGATGTGGAAATTACAAAGACTGGTTACATTGAAATTGGACAACAATAAACTTAGCCAACTACCAGCTACTCTAGGAAGGGTGGCTACTTTGCGGTAGGTATCAGCGTTGTATTATTACTTCTTCTTTATAATGTTACAGTTATTTACTTCTAAGACAAACACTTGTCTTCCAACTGCGAAATTGTAACCTGGTGATATTGTTTGTAAATAGACAGAAATAATATTAATGTAGTATATACATATACATTGACTTACACATTAATTATATTGTAATTTAAAATCAACTGTTATTTTAGATATTTCACCGTCTCGCAAAATGTGTTAACATCACTACCATGCAGCCTAATGCAATGCCATTTGGAGCAACTCGATATCTCCTCAAACAAATTCATTTACGACACTTTTCCTAATAAACAAAACATACCGACATTAAAGAACTTCTGCATGGGAAGTTTAGTCAACATTGCATCAAAGGTCGTTTTAAAATACAGATTATTTTATGATCGAAAGACAATACCGTGGACTCTTGTCGAGTTTCTGGATAATGCTAACATGTGCATTTGTGGTACGCCAGTCGTGGATACAGTTTTTGTAAAGAAAGAATTTGACTTGAAAGACTATTTCAGAATTGTTGTTTGTGACGCACGCAGCAGCAGAGTTGATTTTGAGTGTTACTTCTGCTCACCTGTTTGTCTTAGAAAACTATGTCGTACTTAGAATTTGTTAAGAATTATTTCAATCATAATTTAAGCATAATTTCATTTATAATGGGCTGTGCTCTAAATTTTAAATAAAAAATAATTGAGGTTTGAATAAATTTTTTTTTATTGTGCTTTTATTTCACACATAATATTTTATATACAAATAGATACAGAATGTTTAAAACAGACCATCCAGTTTCCAGCTGACTTCTTTTATTAAAGGCGCTATTCTTACATGAGGTTCTGGAACAAAACAAAAATGTAGGTTTAAAACAGAAGATCCTTCAAAATGCCTTTCAGAAATTTTATATTTAGCACTATGGTAAACATCAGTGGCCTAAGTAGTGTTATACAGTGTGTTGATTTGGAGCAGCGCGCCCCTCATCACCCAATCATACCCCAGGTTCCACAGTAGTGGTCCTAACACGGACCCCTGGGGTAACATACCAAACCACCTGGCATTTCAAGAGAAACTAGAACGTATGCGCGATGTCAACGGAACGTAGACGCAACACGCAAGGTCGACTGATGATCTATCAATCACGCGCTCGATACGATACTCCCCCCGTCCCTACCCGTACCCTACCACCAAATAGATCTAAAATGGATATTTTCTCGCTTAGGTCATTGTTCAAATAGTTGCCGGTACTTGTGGCACGTGTAGTGCAAGTCACTGACCTTTGAATCAAGCATGTTATCGCAACTAAATAAAAAATAAGATTTTTATTTTTTTATTTTTTTTTTAGTAATTTGGGTTCAGTTTCGGATATAGAATGACCTCTGTAAATATGGCGAGAATGCAAATCAACACATTGTATATTAAAACAGAGAGAAACTATATACTAACCAAGAGACGCAATTCCTTGTGGTATGACGGCAGGACCTCCATCGGGTACATTTTGAACTGCAATGACCGCATTGGTAGCTTCAAGCACCAGCTCATCCGTCCAAATCTCATTGAAACTGTCCTTCATTTCCTTCAGCAGCTTATCCAGGTTCCTCTGAAACAAAATGGACAAAGTTAAGGTGGTCTTCTCTGTTGCATTTATCTTATATAATTGCAGATGCTTGCTTTTATTATAAATTTACAATACCTCAACAATGTAAACAATTTACACAACGATGACTATGGTGTTAACATTTAATGGAAAATCTTACTTTGCCTTATAACGCCTTATATTCGTCCTTATAGGTTATAAGGCAAAGTAAGATTTTCCATTAACCTTAGGAAAAGAAACGAAAGGAGTCATCGTGCGGGTGCACGAGCGACGTACCTTCGCATTCCTGTCTTGTAAGTCAGGCGCACAACGGGCAACAATCGGCGAGTACTTTAAGCCTTTCGCCACGATGGCAAACATTATAATGCGTGCCATTCGATACGATAAGAAGAAGAACATTAGGGGTCGTATTCCAAAACTCTACTCAATGCTCAAGTCAGGATTTGAGCAGACTTGAGTATGATTTCAAGCACTGGAAATACGACTCTAATGGCAAGGTCTTGAGTATGATTTTCAGTGCTCACTGCAATACTCAAGTCTTGACTTGAGTATTGAGTAGAGTTCTGGAATACGACCCTAAGAACTCTAAAAACACAAGGCGGTCACATGTTCATACCTACCGCGTACACACTGTTTGCTAAATCCCGTACAATGACCAACGCCTTCAGTATGATGGTGTAATCATCAAACACAAAACATAAGTCACAATTTACCTGTAACACAAAAGCCTCCTTATCCTTCCCAAAGCAACACAGCGTGACGTTTACTTCCTTTACTTGCGGCCGGAGATCAAAAGACGACAAAACCAAGCTATGTAGTGCCATAACAAGGGCTACGTCCTCGTATTGAGAGCCTTCCTTGAGAGACGCCACTTTACGCTCGTGTTTTCTTCTGTTTTTACTCGACCGGAATGAACGGCTGCAACATTGACCACATTATACCTCCATCAGCCAAAATAGGTACTCGTAATTTTTACTTGAATTACTTAAATTAGGTGAGAATCAAATGCACTAGTAAACCAAAAAATCTAGTAAAACAAAATCTGTACTAACGTGCCAAACAATATTCGTGTAATATATTTAAGATCATTTTTGACAGTAGGCATTCTCGTCAATTTAGTTTCTTAATTGATTCCTTGTAGCTTAAATTAACAAAAATAAAAACATTTCATATTTTGTGTTACCTCGACCCTCTGGACGACGAAGCTAATGTACTTCCTGCGTCCGAATACAAATCACTGTCTTTATTTGCAAATGAACCATCATATAAGTCAACAGGATTATTTTTCTTGTTTTCACGAACTACACGCAGCCGATCGCGATGTCTTATAAAATTGGACCAATTTGTCTGCACTAACTCTTGGAGATTTTGAAAGTCGTCTAGGAGCGCAGGCAGAAGATTTTCCTCTGAAATTGTAATAGCGGAAATTTGTAGTTACTTTTTTTTTATGACAATATATTTTTTAGTTTGTAGTGGTTCAAGATATACAAAAAATTTACCTCGCCATACACATTTTTTAAACTGTGTACAATGTCTTATTGCTGCTTTATATTGTCCAGATTCAATTGCAAATTTGATAGTTTCTTCTTTATTATCATAATACTGTTCAAGTATTGTTAGGGCTTCTTTTAAGCGCTTTTCTTCTTTAAGAGCATTAATTAAGTCCCTGAAAATTTAATTTATTATTCAAATGTGTACAATAATAACCAGAGCGAATGAAAATTTTATATTATTAGTGAGAGTATTTCCCAGTTTCAACATACCAGCATAATTCTTTAAAAGACTCTTCAGGCCAGGCTTGTGCTAAATTAATAGCCAGTTCCCACTCCAATGCTTCCTTATAGCAGTCTATAGCTTTGTCGTAATTACAGCCCCTTTCGTAAACCAAACCGGCTTCCACAAACTGTTTTTTTAATTTAAGATACGAACCGAAGTCGTCTGATATTTGTTTGTAAATTTTACTATCAGGAGAGAACAGAGACAACGCTTCTCTGTAAAGGCTATGAAATTTGACAAACGTTTTTAGCTCCTCGTGTTTCTCTTCTCCACATTCGACCAAACATCTCACAGCTTTATCAAATCTCTTCAAATGCTTGTTGATTGAAAATCTTTTGTAGTTTTCTTTCATTTCGTTCAGTTCATTCAACATTGGAATATATTCTTTAGGGTCTTTCTGAGACTTGTTTGCTACTAATAGCACTAGATGAAAGTCGTACATTCCAAGAGCAACATCAAATAGATTGTTTACATCGACCATATAAAGCAAGTACTTCAAAGCTTCGTCAGAACCCACCGGCAGTTTGGACCCACTTTCTTCCCGCTTTTTAAGGTCCTTAATAAGAGACAACGCACTTTCTAAATCTTCCACTGTGTTAGTTTTAACAAAACTCGTTAGAAATGGCAATATTCTTGAATCTGTGTCAGATCTCATGCTTAAACTGTATCTTACAAGTTCACAAACTTTTTGCACTTTATTGCTGACTTCTGTGGCCCTATTTTTCTTATCGATATAACTACTTCCGTACATCGTCTTTGTTACATTGACATTCTCCAAATCTGATAGAAAAAGGCTAAGCCAAGAATTGTTTTTTATAGATTCCAGGAATACGTTAATGTTTTGTACGAATCTATCAGGATCATGATCGAATATCAAATTAAGGTTTATCCTTTGCTTTCTCATCAAGTCAAACGCTTCATGATATTTCAATGAATCCAAGAGTTCGCCGATAATTTTGAGTGACAGTGGCCGTGGCTGTATAGTTTCTAAGTTTCCTCTTGGCATCTGGAATATTGTTCTTGTGTCATTAGGTACAACGATAACTAATTTTGCACCTCTTTCGATTTTCCTCTTGTAAATATGAGCAGATTCATTCTTTAAAGAATACTCTCTGATTGCATTAATGCCAGCTTTAGATAATTCTGTACTCAAAAGCATATGTTGTAGCGTTGTAATCAATAAAAAATGTGTGTGTACAAAGAACGAACTAACGTTGTTCATAGCCTCTGTGTCATCTAGATACAACTGCCCTTTGTGTGTAAGCCCAATAAATTGGATATCATCCTCTACACAAAATACACTGAATTTTGGGCTAGGAACTCCAAATGACACTTCTGTGGGCTCGATATTTCCTCCTTTTGTATATTTCAGAACGTCGCCATTTTTCAGTAATAGGAATGCTATTGATAAATCTGTTGGATGGCACTCAATTCTCATTACTGCAGTAGGCAAAATTTCTTCATTTTGATTGACAAATTTTTCGTCTACCATTTTGTATTCTATGATCGTATGACATACATCAATTTTAATGCATAGAACAGTATCTCTGCTCAACCAGCACCAATTGTAAAATTGAAAGGGAAAATTATAAACTTCCAAATCAATAGTTCTGGATAATGTATATTGTAAAGGAAATTTCTGTATTTGATCATAAAATAATAACTTACAATCACTGGTAACTACGAAAAATGTATTTGCGTCATCCTGACATGGATGTGAAACAAAATGTACTGAGTTAGCCACAGCTTCTAAGTTAATTTCAAGGGCAGCCATGGGTGGAGGGACTACCGTCTGTCTGAATCCATTAAGTAAAAGCTTCTTGCCATCTATGACAACAACTACTGCATCGTCTTTTTCAGTTCTACCTTTACTATGATCAACATTCCATATCCATGTATAAGTTACATGTTTGCCATTTTTCAATACAACATGAAGCTTTTTATTATTTGCTTCAGCAAAATCATTTCCCCAAAGAATCTTACTAATGTTTTTGTCATCTTTAAACACCAGTTCTTGTTTTAAATACCAATGGTAGTTACCCATTGTAAACAACAGTAACTTTTGGATATTAATATCAGTGTCCCTGCAAAGCAGAGTTATGATTTCTGAATCGGAACTCCAAAGCACATCTTCAACAATTGTTGTGTTGTTCACTGGAATATCAAATCCTCCATGTTTTAGGCCATTCTTTTCAAAGAATGCTATAACATATTTTTCTGGTAGTTTTTGTGTTGTAGCTATAACATTGCCACTTGGTCTCCAACACAGATTTGATTCCAAACCTTGCTGTTTCTCACTGGTATACTGGAGATGGCCTTCTCTATCAAACACTTTGAATCTTCTAAGACCATCTAAGTTAAAACCAATGGCATAAAGGTTGCTATCACCCCTCCATGTTATTTTTATTGTATCATCTATTACACCTTGTGTATCTGAAACAAACGTTGTTTGAATTTAAGACTTTGTATTACTTTAATATTCTTCATTTACCTTGAAAAACTGTTGAAGCCTAGAGTGTGGTTTGTACAGATTTAAGAGTTTTATTTTTATATATATAAATTAATGTTTATTTTAATGAGATGAAATGGGCCATGTTCTGCATAAATGTGTTAACCCACAGAAAACATGAGTTAGGAATGCAGTCTTATACCTTGTAATATAAAGTATAATATTCTTTTCAGTAATATATTTAAAAAAATCGTAATGGTTAAATCAAAAAATTGTTTTCACAAAATCTGGTTCGTCTCATAGGCGAATTTCGCGAAAATGTGTTATGTTTGGTTATACCATAAATACGAATTAGAACACAATATCTTTCAACGTGGTTTGAAACGATTTAGTTTCAGTATGCTTAACACATACAACTTGTTTGAAAAATGTAAATACATACTTTACATTTTGTCGATGATATGGACAGACTGAAAAATGATATAAATTCTGAAACTGAGGATTGGGCGATGAGAATAATACTTTTACAATAAGAATTTGGCTAATGGCGCATCTTTTGAGATATTTACTGCAAAAACTGAAGCTTCATTGGTTTATTTCAATCTGAAAGAAAAATAATGAAGGCGAATGTGAGTAAGACGAAGGTGATGGTAATTGAAAGGAATAAAAGTGGAAAAATGGGGACAAGATTGGTAGCGAGAAGATACTAAAGGTGAAAGAATTTGTGTAGCTGGCTAGGTGTGTGTGTGTGTGTGTGTGTGTGTGTGTGTGTGTGTGTGTGTGTG